GATCGCCGATTCGCAAAAATGAAAGTACTTAGGTTTAGAAATATGGGTCTTTAAGTAGCTGCATCGCCGGACTGTCCGTAAAGAACCCAACGTCGCTTCATGCTGTTTGAATCAAGGTTATCATCAAAATCAGATACTTCGAAATTTTCTGCTTTTGATTGTCGTCGAGATTCTCCAGGAGCACGTGGGCTTTTGATAGGAGCAGAAAACAAGGCTTCTAGCTCATCAATTGTCTTATCATCGACAAAAATAGACTCGACGTCTTCATACATGTCTGGGTTTGCCACAAGCGCCTCTACACGAGCCTTCTCATGTGCTTGATATGCTGGAACTGCCCATGTCGTATACCAATCTTGATAGCTGCATTTGCTCTGCTTCATCCAACTTTCGATATCTCGCCATTTGTAAGTGGTAATGATGGCATCAGGAACGACACAATATGGAACAAGATATTCATTTTCGAAGAAGCTGATACCGTACATCTCCTGGTCGCCATAGAGGGAGATCACTTCGTAATGGCGCATTTCATCGGTCACTCGCAAGATTGGAAATCCAGCCGCAATTTGTGCATAGCCGTTGATGAGAGTCAGGTTTGCACAGATCATTTCAGTCTTCTTCCGGGTGCCATAAAAGCGCGGTAAAATGTGATCAGACGTAAGCATACTCAAGTGACTTGTGACCGAAATACCCTGAGTAAGACCTCGGTGTCTCCAGTAGGTATGAAAACGTAGAAAATCTTGGCGTTCCTTTTTAGTGCGAAGAGGCAAGGCCGGAGCTGCCGAAAGAAAGCCATGATGATCATCGTCTAACCTGGACTTACTAGACGGGTCAGAGAGTCGCATGAATAGTCCTGGGCATATAGTCTCCTTTTTGTTGGTGTCCATTCGAGGCAATGTTTGAGAGTCTACCACGGCCCACCTGTGATTGTCTTCTTCCTGAGGCTTGGGCTTCCCAAGATCTGCTGGTAATGGCATGTAACGTAAAAGTTCGAGTAGCTCGGTAGGATTTTTTGGATGATATCTCTTTTTCCCAGAACCATAACTTCTGCGGACTTTCTTCTCAATGACATGATGAATTACTGGACTTGCTTTTATTTTCAAAAGGCCTGCGATATAATCAAGTTCTCTTGGAGACAGGTTACCGGGCTTTCGTAAAAGTTTGATGAGTGCGCCACTGCTGAAGGAGATGTATTTTTTGGCAAGTGAAGACTTTTTCTCTTTGGATCCGGCAGGTTGAGGTTGCACATCATCAGGACTACCAGTCTGCTGGGTATTTTCACGAAGACGCTCGCTCTCTTCACCGTTTTCAGACATATCTGTGTCTTCTCGAGTATTTTTACTGTCTCCTTGTTCGCTTGAAGCATTTGCATCTTCATCCGATGTATCCGCATTCATTTCTGACGCCAATACTTCAGGGGCACCATCGATCGCTGTGTTGTCTGTGTATATCATCATCAGCCCCAATCTACCAAAGCTGAAATAGCCAAGCTCCTACCTTCATGATTGGAATCAATTATGGTGGGCGCATGCTCAATAGCAATAAAGTCTGCATTGAGCTCAGTTACTTCTGCATTCTCTATGACATCGTGATGTTTGTCAGCCATTCTTCAAGACTGTGATTTTCAATCCTGAGATATGAGCTCAAGCAGCAGGGAAGATTTCAACGCGTTCAGACAACTGGTAATGCTTAAATGTTGAATTCTTTCTCGGCCAGGCGGTGGCACTCAGTTCTCGCAGAATGTTGGCAAGATCTGCAATGTTATCGTGAATTGATGGACTGATAACCAAATGTAGTTTTGTGGTTCCTTAACGTGAAGTGATAATAATGGATTCACGAACGTCAATCAAATTGAAGACAGCTCGCAGAACAGGAGATTCGTTGGGGTGTTGTTTGCGATATTCAAGACTCAACTGCGTCTTACAAGTGCTGCCCTTGAGTGACTGAGATTATGGAGACCGAGTAGTAATAATGATAATGATAGAAAATAATAACGAATCAAGAAGCGATGCTTTCGCTGATCTCAGGAATATGGCGAGCGATTCAAGGATAAATCGAACTCTTCAGTTGCTTTACTTCAGAGCATACTACGAAGCGGTAGATTGCGATTTTCCGGAATCTATCTATCCTTTAGAGTAGCTGCGCCAGCTTGAGAAGAAAGAATTGAGTCCAGAAAGTATGTGATAAGTAATTACTGTTGTTGATGAGGATCAATACTCTCAAGGAAGAGAAGGTTGTAGGAAAGGAAAAGAATTTGGTGGGAAGAAGGGCGACGGCGGGGGTGTAAGTAAATCAAGTCTCTAAACCTGTAGTGAGTATCCATTGGATTGAGCACTAGTCTCAAATCCAAATAGGGAAGAGCCTACGATATGATATATTCGTTTTATTTCAAAGGTGAGAAAGCGGAGTCGGGATGAGAGACATTTATTGGGCAACAGTTCTGACGGTTCTTGCGTCCAGTCTTCAGTACGCCTGGCATCGTCTTCACACGAAGCATTTCAAACATGGCATCAGATTGATATGTGCCCGAAGTTAAGGATCTGCTAAGATTCATTCCAGGTTGAGAAGTATGAGGTTCTTCAGTAATGAAGCTTTCAAGCATTCCTGCCACAACAACGCCCAAGTAGCTTTTCGCACCTGGTTCGAATTACAGGAGCAACTCCTACTTGCTCGTACTGAGAGCTTAAGATGCACTCAAGGCAGATGCACAAAATGGCGTAGGTAGACATCATATGATGCATGCTTTCCATATGGATTCCATCTCAATGCAGTTCTTTCCTTGGTTGCTTCATGGAATGGCCTCATGTTTTTAGGAAGGCATTGCAATTGTAATCATATGGCCAAAAACCAACCATGAACATTACAACACAAATGCAACAGAAATTCATTGCGATTAAGTATATCAATCCACTCGAATTGATGATTGCCGTCGCAAGCAAAAACGTTTTTTGATGAAGGAAGCTAAGTACGCATCCCTTACCCTTGCCCAGACAAAACGATGAAACGCTCCCTAGCGTTCGGAACATCATTCACTCCGCCAAACCAAAAAGTACTCGTATTATTCTAAAAGACAACCTCTCCTCTATTTTTCCCACACACACAATGATTTTGCGATATATATTACAATTATAACATTGAAACCCTCAAGATGGTCGTCAATCGCGATGGTAAATTCCTTTTTCTATTTTCCTGATATGCGACGACCTAACAAATATCCCTAGTTTCGTCCTGGTCTACATCTCATCTCTTGGCCGAATTAGCACGACGACAACAACAAGATGAACCTGGAGTTCCAGAGAAACCCGTGTGTGGTTCGGGAGTTAAAGGCAGTTATAATACGTCAGCACATGTATATGCGCTTGTGCTAATACTTATACTGAGTACAATCGGTATGCCACATTTTACCCTTTCCCACTTTGTGCCATCTAACAACTTCCCGCACAGCATGTGGATTTCCCCTGATATCTCGCCGTTCCTCGAAATCTGAAGGCCCGAATCGTTTCATATTTCTCTCTCAACATTTTGGAACCGGAGTTCTTATAGCTACAGCATTCGTGCATTTATTACCAACAGCTTTCATGTCCTTAACGGATCCATGTCTACCCTATTTTTTCAGCGATGGATATCATCCTCTAGCAGGACTTATTGCAATGTTTAGTGCACTAGTAGTTGTAGGACTAGAGATGTTTTTAACGACTAGAGGGGCAGGCCATTCACATTCACATGGAGGAAATTGGGACGCTGTGCCCGGAGGGGAGAATGAAGGAGCACAAGGAAACGGAAGTGCTAAGAAAAAGGGAAAGCAAGCGAATGGCAGATTAGGAAAGATTGGTCTGAATCGTCGGCCGCAAGATATAGCCTTGGAAGACATGGGAGAATCCGAAGGACTCGTGGCAGGAGTCTCGCCCCTCCCTGTTTCAACACCCCAAACTGGACCTACTGAGAGCTCCGAGCGCAAGAAATATCAAGACGACAATATCTCAGACGACGATTCTGATCTTGACCTCGAACTCGATGAGCTAGATGACCCCCTCACAAAAGCTCCTACACATTCCCCACACGACCCAGAGACCAGCTCTTCTTCCCCAGTCTCGGCAGAAGATTCCCAGAAACGGCAAATACTGCAATGTCTCCTCCTCGAAGCAGGCATCCTCTTCCACTCCATCTTCATCGGCATGGCCATCTCCGTAGCCACTGGCCCTCCATTCATCGTATTCCTAGTCGCAATCGCCTTCCACCAATCCTTTGAAGGACTCGCCCTTGGATCTCGCATCGCCGCTATAAATTTCCCCTCCTCTTCTCCTCGTCCCTGGCTCATGGTTCTCGCATACGGAACTACGACGCCCATTGGTCAGGCTATTGGCCTCATTGTACATAATTTGTATGATCCGCATTCAGCGGCTGGACTCTTGATGGTGGGTTTCATGAATGCTATTAGCAGTGGATTATTGTTATTTGCGGGATTGGTACAATTATTAGCCGAGGACTTCTTGAGCGACAAGAGTTATGGCATTCTCAAGGGAAGAAGAAGATGGGAAGCTTTTGTGGCAGTTCTGGGCGGGAGTTGTTTAATGGCGTTGGTAGGGGCATGGGCATAGGAACTGAATGTATGTGTCTCCATAACAAATAAGTTGTGGATTATTCCTGTACTTCTGTATCATCATTTGCATATCCCATATTTTGATTGGGCGCTACTTGGGTAGGAAGAACTGCATTGAGCGATGGGCACGGCATGGGGTACAGGTTTTGGGATAGATATAAACTGGCAGCAGGTTTAACAATATACCACAGCAATACATACTGTACCCGAATGATCTAGAGCCTGACTGATAGCTATCATATTCGTTCTGTGACTAGGTGTTCCTTTGATGAGGTAATTTCAATGTAGGGATTTGCGGTCAGCCAACATGTTTTCAATCAAGCTGTTTTGCAGACTGCAATAATCCGTTGGAGCAATTTAGTGGAGCCGTGGAAGGGTAAATCTTGGATTCTGGAAACTGCATTGGTGTCGGTATTCCGTCTAGGCTTCTTGAGCCAATATGGCACTTGCTCATTCCCCATAATATCCCCTCTCGAGCTTCATCCTGCGGTCCATCCAACTCTATCCGCGTATCGATCGAGTGTCAACCAAACTTTTCTTCCAATCCGACCACAATCATAAGCACATCACAAATTCGTCCAAAATCTCGCAGCATTGGTAGGAAGCTGAATCAATTTTTCATAATCGACCGGCAAGTCTTAGTGTATGTAAGTGAAGTAGGCCTAACGCAATGATGCAACGCCCTTCCATTCATCCATGACTTCCATCCATTTGACATTGTGAACCCCGAAAAAAGAACAGCCCTCTTTACATGACGACACCAGAGTTGGAGGCAATACGCTGATACTTGGTTAGTCGCTTGAATTCACATAACAAGATACAGAATGGGGTGACTTACTGGCCATAACTCAGCAGCTTCCTTTCCGACTGGTCCAGTGATGGCGGATCCCTTCATTTCTCCCTTGGGGTTGACAATCTGTAGGAAATGTCGTCAGCAATTATTTCATCCACATCACTCGGATTTCGTAATCTATCCTCCAGATTCAATACATCAAGTCGTGTTTATCGATCGATGTTAATCGCCTCAACTTGGGTGTTCCGTCCGCACTCCTGCCCAAATAAATGTATAGGAAAATTCTCTACTCACAACACCGGCGTTGTCCTCAAAATACAAGAAAACACCATCGGTTCTCTTCCATGGCTTTGACTGTCTAACGATGACAGCTGGCATAACCTTTTTTCTTAATTCAGGCTTTCCCTTCTTGACAGTTGCCATAACCATATCACCGACACCACCGGCTGGAAGACGGTTGAGACGGGCACCGATACCCTTGACGGAAATGATGTACAAGTTACGGGCACCGGAGTTGTCGCAGCAGTTCATGACGGCTCCGCTATTTTTCTAGTCAGTATTTGCGCTTTATTGTATTGCGAATTCGAAAAAGGGTAGGTTCGCATAATCAGGAAATATATCGTGGTCGAATTGTTCGATATCGCAGATTGCGGGGCGTGAAAATTAGAGTGAAAACTCACACTGGGAGACCGAGAGTCATCTTAAGCTTGCCACCAGGGGCTCCACGTCTATTAACACCATCACATTAGTTTTCAATCCTTTTAAATTTCATTCTCCTGCCGCATGGCCTCAATAATTCAATGCCATCCTTAAAACCAAGCTTCAATTCTCCCAATTTCTTATTCTTCAGACGTTTCCCCCTCATCGAAGTTCTGGCGCATTCCCTCCACAAATTGACTCCACCAGACCGTAATGATTGTGAAAAAGGCAAACTCACGAAATCTTTGCCATCTCGACGGTATTGCTTTCGGTATACTGAAAGGGTCGAAAATGTAATTTGTCGAATTAGAGGTTGTCGTCGGTCGGTATTATTTCGAGGTTGAATTGCAAAAAACCCATTTGGTAGTGGAAACCCTAATCTGAAATAAGCGAAAAAAAAAGTATGGATCCACTTTACATTGTGAATGGCACAGAATTTCTTCCTCTACCTCGTGAGGTCAAGACTCAACACCAGCATAATTTGGAAAACTTATTATTCTTAAAGAGTAAATATTTATTATTCTAATGGTCCACATTTGGCAACTTTCTCGTATTCACGACTAAATACAAATTGTTCACACCAAAACCCCCAAAATATTGCTTTCCTTCACAATTTCATTGGCAGTCGATGAATAATTCATAGCTTCTTTAATTACAGTCAAATATATTGAAATCCCCTTTAATCCTAATAACACCAAAGTATTGGTATACTCTCCATGTAGAGGCAGTTGGGCCCGGGGAAACAGAGACAGCTTGAGCTGAAAGGATCCCATCTCCATAAAGTATCATAGTCTGCGAGAATTCCACGCCCTTGTGAAATTCCTGATCTTGTTCGCCATGTACGCCCTGCTCAGTTTACCATCCCTACTACATATAACTGAAGAATTACAAAAGGAAATTATGCGAAGGTTCAAGACCGATTGTCGGACTCAAAGTTCGTCAAGATTAGTACCGCTCTGAAGGACATCATACAACGCAAGTTTCCATACGCGCCCGTTGTTGTATATATTAATTCATCAGACTGCCGTTCGCCTTAGATTGTGTGTATCCCAATGTAGAGACTTTTTTGCCCAGAAGAGCAGAGAACAAAATGTTAAATTCTGAAGCCGTTTGAAATCCAATAACCCCATAATTTAGAAAGCAGACGTGATTGGAACAATATCAATGTCCCTGGAATTGCTCATGACTTAGCCTGCTCGGTAGTCTCCTTACTTGCTTCTGCTGTCACATTGGCATCTTGTCGTTCAGTGTCGCTTTCTTGCTTTAGTATAACAGGATCTGCTTCAGGAATGGCTGTTTCGGGCACGATTTGCTCGCTGCTAGCGGCAGCTTCTATATCCGTGGCAATACTAGTCTTGGGGGGGTCTTTCGCTGAGGCTGTTGGGGGCATAGGTGATTTTTCGGCTTTTTCTTGAACCGATGCTACGGTCGTGGCTTCGAGTGGTTCTGCCATATCAATATCACCTTCGTCATCAACAATTGGCTTAGGTGAGTTTGAGCGAGATGGGGCATTCGATGGGCCTGCTTCAAGGGTTTCGGTAGCTGCTGCATCTTGAGTTTTCTGCTCCATGAGCTCTGCATTAACTTTTGCGTTCGCTTCTGTGACAGCTGTTGGTGCATCTTCAATCTCGTCGTGGACTTCAATTTCGGGAGTGGGAACACCACTGTCCATATCAACATCGGAGTAAGTGTGGTTGCGCTGTTTTACTTGTCCATTCTGAGCAAATGCGCCATTTGCAAGATTCGCTTCTTCTTCATCGCCTTCATCGAACTCATCATCCCGGGCCACATGCTTATCGTTTCGGTGCTCGGTATGACGAACATCCATGTTTTCGTCTTCATCGGCATCAGCCATAATATCATCGTCTTCGTCTGTTGCTCCAGTCAAGGTAGTACGAGGTACATCTTGCATTTGTACAGATGGGGCATGAGCAGTTCTCTTCAGATTCTCGATGACTTGGATTTTGATCTTTTCGAGATAATCTTTGGAATTAGCGTTCTCCATGTTAGAAGCTCGTACATCAAGTTCGTAATCAGGGCCGTAGTACTAAATATGTGTGTCAATCCTTGAATATTTTCAAAAAGATCCAGCAGGAACCATACCTCGTAGTACTCGTTGTAAGGAAGTACAGGGTCCATTTCCTTGCCAACTAGAACACCGGTCTCAAATGCCCAAGTTCGCGCGACATTACGCATAGTATATCCACCTCCTCCCAGCACCAAAGTGGGCTTGTTAAAACTTTTGACAAATTGAACACAATTCGCGTGGCCTCTCATGCTCAAATTGAAACATCCCAAGCGATCGCCTGAAAGACTGTCTCCGCCACACTGAAGAACAATCGCTTCTGGTTGATAGTAATCCATAACACTCTGGATTACAGGTTCAAAGATGGATTTATAGGTGACATCGTCGATGCCGTCACGAAGTGGGAAATTGACTGCGTAGTTCTTGCCTTGTCCAACTCCAATATCTCGTAGTTCACCAGTCCCAGGGAAATATTCACCATATTTGTGGAATGAAACTGTCATCACTCTATCTGTCGTATAGAAGGCTTCCTCGACACCGTCACCGTGATGAACATCGATATCAATATAGAGAACTCGCTTCTTGAAGCGCAAGAGCTCGATTATGCCGAGAACGATATCTGGAACTAAATCAGCACGAGATCATGAATACGGAGAAGAGAATTCCTACCATTGACATAGCAGAAGCCACTTGCTTCACTTTTCTTTGCGTGATGCAGCCCTCCGGCCCAATTGATAGCAATGTCGCACTTTGAACGATTTAGACGAGCTGCACCCTCCATACTACCACCAGCGCTGATTCCACAGAACTCGAACAGTCCATCGAAGACAGGGCAATCATCGCCGACGTTATATTTCCCTTGTTCCTTAGCGAAAGAATCCATGTTGTCTGGAGTAACTCTCTGAAGAAAGTCGATATATTCATCGGTATGGAATTGGGTCATTTCGTGCCGGGTTGCTGGTTTTGCTCGCTGTCAAGCACCGTTAGTACATTACTTAAATGAAGTCTGCTTGAATCATCTGATACTCGCCCTCAAATTTGCATTCGCAAATGGGGTAAGTGATGCATAGCAATCTTGAAGAAGGGCGTTCTCGATCACAACTCACATAAATCTCCATTTTCTGGTAGACTCCATAATTCATAATCAGACTATGCGCCAAACGTATTCTATGAGGCTTCATAGGATGTCCCGCAACATAAGCATAGTTTCCGACATCTGAATCGTAAAAGTATGCGACCCTCTTTTTGGTGCTTGGCCCATTCGACACCGGATCTAAAGGCGCGAAGGAATTCGACATATTGGATGAGTTTGTAATTGTAACCACTATGAAGTAACTCGAAGTGTGGGATCAATCGGATAGTTGATAATTGTTGTTGAATTGAATAAGATGTTGGGTTAGATTTACATACAGAGTTGTGGTTGTTGGAGGGCTATTTGAGACGAGGCAGAAAGAATAAATGGGAAAGGTATCCGTGGGAGATAAAAAGGTGAGAGAGAGCTTATAGCAGGGGTCAAGCAATGATGACCGAATGTACTAAAAAACACTCCTATCGCTAATTGGATGAGTGCCACTGTCGAGGCTATATCGCAAGGCTGAACGGTCATGTGTTGTTGATTACATAATGGCCTTACCCTTACGAACTTCATGCGCGTTTCTAAGCTGCCTTAAGTTGGAGCTTCACAACACCATTTAATACCTTGACACTTTTCGTTTTCAACCTCTTCATCCAATTTTCTCGAGATACCCTTCTTTCATTTACTCATAGATTGATCAAATCACAATGGATAGACTAAATCAGTTATTGGCCAGTGGCGGGCCTATGGCAGGCGGAAGTCCAGGTGGAGGTGTAAGCTATACTATTTCCAAAATCCAGCACGGCGAGCTTGATTATCTCGAGGAATAATATGAAAGTAAACTAACATAATTCTTAGGACAACCCAGGTTTGATCGATAACTCCGAAACTGTATATATCTCTTCGTTGGCACTACTCAAGATGTTGCGACATGGCAGAGCTGGTGTACCCATGGAAGTTATGGGTTTAATGTTGGGAGAGTTCGTGGACGACTTCACAGTTCGAGTTGTGGATGTATTCGCTATGCCCCAAAGCGGTACAGGTGTCAGTGTTGAGGCAGTAGACCCAGTGTTCCAAACAAAAATGATGGATATGTTGAGACAGACAGGACGGTTCGTATACCTTTCCCTTCTCTAAAATCCGGAAGGCTCTAACATCATATCTCGCAGACCGGAAACCGTTGTTGGCTGGTACCATTCGCATCCCGGTTTTGGCTGCTGGCTCTCATCTGTCGATATCAACACTCAGCAATCATTCGAGCAATTGACACCTCGAGCTGTTGCCGTTGTTGTCGACCCTATTCAATCCGTGAAGGGAAAGGTCGTTATTGATGCTTTCCGTCTCATCAACCCACAATCACTTATGCTCGGCCAAGAACCTCGACAGAGTACATCCAATTTGGGACATCTCAACAAACCTTCTATCCAAGCGCTCATTCACGGTCTCAATAGGCATTACTACAGCATAGGAATCGACTATCGCAAGAATGCCTTAGAAGAGAGTATGTTACTGAATTTACACAAGCATGTATGGACCGAAGGTCTGCAGATGGATGATTTCAGAGTCGAGGGAACTCGCAATACCGAGCGATTACAAAAGCTAGTTGGACTTGCCGAAGGCTATGAGAAGCGTGTCAAGGAAGAGACTGAGATGACAAAAGATCAATTGAAGACTAGATATGTTGGAAAGGTTGATCCAAAGAAGCACTTGGAAGATGTTGGCCAAAAGCTTATCGAAGATAACATTGTCTCGGTTTCGAGACAGATGATTGATAAGGAGGCCTCTGCACCAAAGGAAAAGAACGGAGCAAATGGCCACGCACCACAGGACATGGATGTTGATGAAGAATTGTAACGATTTCCATATGATACTGTATAATAGGCGTTTGGCTGCTAGTTAGAGCTTAGCATAAAAATCTCTACAATGACATAGTTGGTCTGGAGGTGGAGTTAATGCAAGCTTAGTCCTGGTCCTCTACTTATTCTTTCCTTTACTGATTATGTGATACGGTAACTCTCGCAACATACAATCGAGACACTGGGGAAAACTGACATTAAGGAGACATCTTTCATCGAGAAACTGGCACAATGCCATTCTCTCAATCAAACATTCCCCGGAGATATTCCAATTTTTGACAGACAAATGCTTCTCGAACGGTTGGCACTTTTGACACTCAAGTTTTAAGGCATTTTAAGGGCAACAGGAAGGGAGAGTATAATAGATAGTTCTGTTGTGGATAGTGATTGCTCTTACACCATAAGTATTTTAAGTTCGTATTTTCATTGCGATATTGTACTTCTTTCAGCTAGGTAATCGGCCGTTTGGTAGGAGGCAGGAGGTAGGAGGCATGTTTTCTTGATTCACGTTTACACAGCGAGTATATCATTTTTCATGTAGATTATACTATGTCCTTTCTTCCATGAATTGGCTTCGTCGGGGTTGAAGTGGTGATTTGTACTGTGGCTCAAGTGTGGTAGGCTGGATTCGCGCAATGCGATAGTTTATCTGAAGAAGTTAATAGAGTGTTTACTCGAAGTCGGAACAGCTTTAGTGATGGAAATCTCTGGGGGATGGGAGAAATGGTGTTGGTGAAGACTTGATATAGTTCATGCTTCGGAATAACTGATATGCAACCAAGACCTCGTACTGTGCAATGGTGTGATGTTAGAGGAAAGAAGCCCTTGGTCAACTGCTCTACTAATTTTTGAGTTCTAGAACATGGAACTTGAGGGTTAGTAAGAAGGACGTTCTTATGAGCTGAAAGGGGTTTAATGATTGCATATGGTGGAAGGATGTCACTAGGTGCAATTTATGATGACCAGACGGTGCTTATTCCTCGGTGTCTGGGTGGGAATGTAAGAAAATGTGAATCTCGGAATGGGTCGTGTAGCTACCAGCCGGACTCGTCAACGTGAGAGTTTGGCCATACGACTTCGCTTTATTTGCCAAATTGCAAAACCTTCGTATCGCGAGTATGATATTATAAAATTCATGGAAGTAGACATATCGTTCAAATAACCGATACAATCATCACTCCCGTCCCCATGCGTGGCGTAGCTTAGCGGCGATATCAATGTGCACTTGGTGTGCACCTATCAAGTGAACAAATCCTGTTCGAACCCATAATTCCTCATCAAAGACCCCCGCAATTACCCGAAATTTACCAGATGGTGGTTACGAAACCCTTGCTGAAGCAAAAGTTCCCAGCGATCGCCAAAACGAGTCGAGGTCCCCGCGTTGCGTCGGCTATGGTATACAATCATGACTTTCAGTCATGCAGATTAAACCATGCTCAAGTATGTGGTCGTTGAGTGACGAATGTATCCATTAAAATTCACTACTGTCCCACTCGCTTGGAATTTATGTCTTTTGTTTGGCGTGGAGTTACCTTCATCATCATCATCAAATCACAGAACGGCACGGTACATTGGTGGACTGGCCGAGCAATGTTCCAATCTAGATTTAAGCTGAAAGGGCGGACAGCGGGTAGCGCGTGCTACATGAAATTCCGATTTGGGTGAGGCGGGGCAGAATGGTTCTTGAGAATTGATCTCTCCACATTGCTCTAAAAGTCCTTGATTATTGAACCTGTGAATGCTCAGAAAGTTGGTCCCCGAAGAAACGGAAGAAGACATGCATGGCATTCGAATCAAGTAGAACTCGTCAGCTCTTTTCGAGGAATCAAAGGCAGGAGCCTTGGTCCAATTATTGAGAACGAAGATTATGATGCCCACGTTTTTTGATCAGTTTGAGAGCAGGAGTCAAAATCATTCAAGGCGTATGCAAGTCCACGTAGGCATCCCCGGGACACTCTTTCTCGTGCCATTGGTCGATTTTAGGTTTGCAGCCACCTAGGTCCTGGGCATGGGACTTTCCATTGTGGTGGTTGGCTTTCATAGCTATCAAAACTTTCTGGTCGGGCAGTCGCATGGTAGAATCAAATTTATATGAACGTGTGCTATGCTCCATAAATTCTCCAATGAAAATTATCGTATCTGGGACTTCGCACCTGGTTGATTCTCGAGAGTCGACATATGATACTCGACAATATCTTAAGAAGTTGCGTCGACTGATCATTTCGTTACCGCTGCCAACCTAAATTGGTCGACATATTATAGCCACTTAATGTTCCTAGGATTCAAGAGCCCGATGCGAAATTCGAGTCAATAATTGCTGAACGAACTGGTATATTTGTTGCGTGATGATGGCTTCCAATATTCAGAAAGCCCTGTCAGCGGAAAAGCCCGATACCTGGGTAGTGGCAGAGGTAGCTGCTAGGAAGTACTACGATAGGGTTCCATAAATTCACTCCCACATTCAGAACTGGGTAGTCTGTGAAAGCTCGATTTGGCCCATGAGAAGCCTGGCTGCATGATGACTGGGAGTAAATTGATTGGGAGGTAGAGAGGAAGTGAAAATCTAACTTGTAAGTATCTTTCCTATGATTCTGATAATACTTCGCGACACCAATAATTGCACTAGAACCACTCAATCACTGTCGTCCATGGGAGCACATGCTTATTTCTGTTCACGAAGTGGCCCGCGAACACAGTCAGACTAGGAAACAATTTCTGGTGCGTTTCTTAGTGCTACACCGGAAACATTCTGGGAGTCCCGGTGGAATGCAAGATATTAGGCTGCGAATGTAAACTGGAGCCATAACTGAGATAAGGCTAGCATATGATCAGCGAAGAGCCCAATATCTTATGTAAGAGAATCGATTTGTATATTTCGTTGATGTTGGCCCAATTGTGTGAGATGAGATGTCAGGTTCCCCAGCGACCGGAATGCGGATACTTATGTTGTGCGACAGATAGCTGGGTGCTTCGATCTCGATTATGGTACGCAAGGATGCTTGAATCGATTTTTGCAAATATCAAAAACGCGGAAGAGGAAGCGCTGAAGACTGGAATATATCGGTTCTTGTCATGCGCAAGCATCTGGGCATCCACACATCATCGAGCACGCAAAGAATCTGCACCAAAGAGGCATAGATGTGGATCTTTTCCCTGTGGTGACTCTAATCCTAGACCTAGGTGTAGATAAGAATCTGACTGGTGAATTCCTGGTTTGAATAAGAGAAACTTCAACAATAGGCTTCTTGCCTGTGATGTAAGTCGGATATGTTTGACATCTTTCGCGTTTGCAGCGAAGATAATTTCCTAGTAGGTAGATCCGACCCGACTACCCAGTACGTGCATAAAGTTCGCGAAACCGTGGGTCATATTCGGGAAACGGTCATATCATTGGTTCACTGCCGACATCCAGGTACCGTGATGTGAAGTGATGGATTTATGTTCCTTGACAATTGCTACCTCAGTAATATGCTCTGCGGTGCTTGAGGTTAATGATTATATCAAATGGCTTTAATTCCGGTTGGATGATACAGTGGTACCACAGCACGATATCATTACCTTCCTTACAGCAAGCTAATGCAATGTAATGGTGGGCGAGATTGACGCCCTAATGGCTCAATAACGTTCCGCACAACGAGCGCGAAGATGAAAAAGCACCAGTGCAAATTGAATATCCCGAGTTCTTTTCGACAACACATCTTTTTCCTGCATATTGATGGTGATCGCGTGATAGCCAGGGATGAGGCGGAGGGGGCAACGCATTTGGATGTCACTGTGCCTTGAATGTGACCTGAATGTAAAGAGTAAGGCATGTGACTTCTTATTCGATCAACGATAGGCAATGCACCTCTTCCTCTCTGACCGCTTGATATATATACATATTTGTGATTGTTCGATGTCGGATAAATTCTCGAAAGGGAATCTCCGATATAAGGGGCTGAAGGAGGTATCTACGAACGGAAATATGCGTATTGCGAGACTTGTCGACGTCATCCAACCCCTATATCCTAGACGCTTTGCATCGAAATTCCTAGTCCAATGTACCCTGCTTCTTCAATTACTAAAATAAAAGTGACAAACCTAGAAACTGGGAAGAGGCATTCCCCAAAGTAAAAAGCTATGATCGGGTATACCTTCTTTCTTATTTAGGTTAGAAACATTAGGAATAACAATATCGGCAGGCCCCTCCCGCTGCAGGTTGTCCGATGCGGTAGTGATATAAATTATATGATTGGCGTGAAGCAAAAAGGTTGAAGGGATTTGGTGGTAAGGATTATGGAAGGATCATGGAAAAATCCTATAATCTTGTCGACCAACTCTTCTCAACCTTTACCTTACGAACAATGCCCTTTTTAGATACATGTACCCCATATATTACACTTTGACGAATAATATTAAATGTAATCCAATCAAAATCAACAAGGTATACCTGTAGAAAATCGAATGGTCGAGAATACCCGAACAAGAGAGCAGAGCCCAGGGCAGGGCTTTGGAGACTTATGAACAGATCTACTACCTTTCGTATTCTTCGATGATTCACCTTGTCGATTCAAAGTTTACAGGGCGAGCAGGCAGCCAAGATGTAACCTTACCATATCGCATGTGCCCTACCTACCTAGCAATCCATTCTGAAAAACAAAGGCACAAACCGATAGCCCCTACCTTTGGTCAATGTCAACCTTGCTAGATTACTCGGAACTCCGGATACTCGTAATGAGATGAATCAGAGTGGTCGAGGCGTGCACATACCTCAGAGGTATCTAAGGTACCTTGACTTAAAGGTATCTACCGAGGCCGATCACAATCAGACTCGCTATATCATTCCCGAAATAGCAAAGGATCACACGGGAAGAGTAGGGCATATCCTCACATACTGAGTTCTTGTTTCAGATGATAGCTGGTCTGATTTCCCGTCTGATGATGATGATCTACAACACAAACAGCACTTGTCTTAGTATATTTGACATTGACATGGGAGACCACTAAGCGAGACTTACCCTTGATTGCTGGCGCATAGGGCGTGTATATTCAAAAGTTAGACAAAAGTATGCTCGGGGAAGCCGGAATGTTGCGACTTTATCTTAGACATTTAAAAGTGGTACGATATAGTCGGGTAAGTTTCACAAACTCAAATGTGTATTTATTTGCAGTCATTGGAAATTTCCAGCCCTTGCTGACATGTGTTTTCCACATGGTCAGCTTCTCAAACGTCTACTCAGCAATGCATTCACCCGTAGCTGCATGCGTTCAATGCCTTCAAATGCAGGTGGCCGTTAGAGGCGATTGAATCTGCTGATCCATACTCGAATTGTAATTCGGGTCAATTATTAGTGTTGCATCGGATGCCACACGAATTTCATAACCGATCCGAAAAAGTATGAGATTTAGCAACTCCGCACAGCAGTTTTATTTGTATTATGACATCCATTATTACATGCTGAAGCGCTTTGATAACCGTTTCAATAGGCTCAATGCTTGGCATGACTGGCACAGACCTTCATAAGGTGATGAGGTTCTTAAAGATCAACCGATTTATTCTCCTTTCGTGACAGATATCGCTCGTCCTAATGCTGTTGAACCTGGACCTGCGATATCCAAAAGAAGAATTGCAGTAGACTAAAAGATTACAACAGGCTATTGATTGGTGGGTTGTGGGGTTAGAGCTGAACGCTTGACTACCGGCATCGATGTGATTTGATATCAACTAAACCCTACATGCTCAATTTTCGGATTTACTTCTTTATTAGGATGCTTAGTGCATACGACGTTAGCTGACAAAGAGCTGATCCGTTCCAAGTTCTAAGACATGGGAGGAGTCTTACAGCAGGCCGGGAACAGAAACAGAGACAGCTACCACAGTAACCATAAGGTCTCTCTACCTGTAACAGGACTGGGGCTCATTATCGGAAATTAACCCGAAAGACCCGGTAGTGAACCATTTGCCTCACTCACCACTTGTGACCTGAACCATCTCGCAAATTTCGATTGAGTGGTCAAAACGCCCAAACTCAAACTTTAAGCGGAATAGCCGATTCGAAAGCTTAAAGAAAAGTTTAACGACAAACGGTTTCTCTCATTTGCGATTAAGTATTATCAACCCTGGCTTAAATGCTTGTCATTTCTCAATGATGAGTTTCCCGCTGCTCGCCCCTTTTTGTGTTTTGTGGCTGATAGCCAAGGCCGTTAAAGCTCAACATATTCCTAGTTCATATTCTTCGAAACCTAGATATATCTCTCAACTCAGCCACATAAAGAAATATCCGAACGATATATTAAAGACAAACCCATCTCACTCCATCATTTTCTTGTACTTATACCTTGAAGTGCTACCCCTGCCCGGCTTCCAATCTTCTCTGCCGCTACAAGCGGGGAAGTTAGAAGATCTACCGGACGAGCAAAAAGGTAAATACAGACTTCCCAAAATCAATTGTATCTCTTTCAATTAAGCCTCTTCACCGCTTCTGTGAACGCTACCCCTACGCCCCAAAATGCCTTCAAACGACCACTTGATTTCAATTTGATCTGGAATCTATGATTCCAACCAAATACGCCATCTGCCGCGAACTGATCCACTACTTGGGTCTTCAAGGTACCCGACACCATGGATATGGTATATGTATCTATCTGCAAGGTTTTGGATAGTCTTCAGGGCCGGCCATGCTATTTCTCGTAACATCATCCGAACTATTCTTCCCCCCTCAACCTAACTCCACGTATATGCAAGCCACACCAGTTTCGTCAACCGGTGTTCATATTGATTGGTGGGTGCCTAAGCGGGTAATCATTTTTCTCGATTCTGCTATTTGACCAGGATTTAACATGTTCCGCCCTGTTATTCATCGCTTATTCCTTGATGTGGCATTAAGCAAGAGACTGTTTTGCCTTGTAGGCTTGCCTTGCCTGTGTCTTACCGGGAAGTTACCATCTCCGCTTCTCGTCTATCCGGTGTTCAAGGGCTCTTTGCATATTAATATGGACTTGCCACCCGAAGCACTATATCCATCGCATCCCCCGACCCTCATAGCTTTTGACACTAAAACTTCATAACTACTATCAATCAAGTCAACAACCAACAATTTCTTACAGAGCTAACATGGAGACTCAAACTATCGAGTTCACTGTTGAACAACTTCTCGACTTACATAGATATTGGATTACAGAACTCTTTATCATGGACAAAAAGTCCGAGGAGGAAATTGTCAATTTGCTTCATCATCATCAGATAAATGTCACGTGTGTATATCATCTGAACTTTCTTTTTCTGTTCACTACTAACAGTTTGTTCTTAGTTCGCACACGCTTCATTCTTATCTCTCCAATTGGAATTTACTTACTCCACGTTCGTATATCTCAGAAGATTGGCTTGCTGTTCCCAACGCTAATTGGCTCTTGTTTAATTAGGAAAGCGATGATGATTACTCCATCATATCTGCAATCAGCTCGCAATCAGTACTCGAGGATTGCAAACAATAGCCTCCTCCTCCTCCTCTTTCCAAGACAGGGCCAACTGCGATTATCTCAAGTTATGCCACCATTTTCAACACAACCACTACTGCACTCACATCCGAAAATTCTTGCCCCATCCCTTTCACTCCATCAAAGCCAGTCTTGGAAGGTTTAGGTGCCATTTCTAAGTACTCGACACGCATCGAATCCTACTCGCTCGACTATTCATTATTGAAAAGTCGTCGATTCGGAAAGCCCACGAGAGCTATGGAAGATGGTGGAAGAAACCCGGAAATATCCGCTTGAGAGTTCCATAGCCTTAAGAGAATTCTATACGTACTATTACGACAAGGAATGGGGGATTGGGAAAAAGTGCTTTGTTTCGTTTTGATTCGTTATTCTTCTATTTATTTGATTTTTTGGGACTATATAAAAGGGGATTACGGTAATGGGTCATGGAGTTCTCTTTTATTCGCTGTTCCATCTGCGATTGTTTTACATGTTATGGCTGGCGATGGGCGATGGGCGATTGGCGATTGCGACGTGTTAATGACTGCAAAAGGCTGGACGATAAGGATACGAGGGATATAAATGGTTCGTAGATGCCATGGCGCTGACAGGAGTACTGCAGTTTGGAGTTTCTTTACATTATTTGACTTGACAGATCTGGTCAGGTATATGTTGATCTGAGGGTTCTCTTCCACGCGTGCCGAGATTATATAGATTGATATCACTACGTTTCTTTCCCGCGCTGTAGCATAGTATGCGATATTTTTCTTTTTTTTTGTTGCTATACGATAGATAGCCTGCGCAATATCAAATGGGGTGGGATCAGATCAACACCTTGAAAACTTTATATCTGTCGTGTAACATTATCATCTACTGGAATCTAGACACCAGTCGCACTGCATATTCCACCGCTCTACCCATCCTCGCAGATTTCCCGAACATAACATAACATATGCAATGCAAAATCGAATCTGTACCTCAATCTGGCCCCCACTCATCTCCACCTCGACCTTACCAGATTATGTTGTTTCCTTTTGTCTTCTACTTGTACAAATATGAAGTGATAACTACGAGTGATTCCTTTTAATTCGTACACCCCACTATCCCACCGTCCCACGACAATGGATATCATCACATGCATGCACATGCGCGTCCTACAATCACCATGAACCCAAGGCACACGCATCCACGTCATACTTCCCCAAAACAAACTTTATCACCTATTCTCGGACGTACTCCCGAAGCTTATCATATTGAGGCTTCCATTTATGAACAGACTGATTAAAGAGCTAAGCTATGGTAATTATTATGTGATAAAAGTGGCTGGAGAAAAGTTTCCGATGAACGTCAGCAATAAGTTTGCGGGCTAGTAAGAATTGCTTTTTGGAGGAAATGAATCTACTAGGAAGATGATCATACCCCGGGAAAAGAGGGAAGCCACACGCCCAGTCAATTCAAATCTACTGAAAGATTGAAAACACTACCTAGTATCTGTATATTGACAGTGCATCAGTATTAGATGGGAAGTCAACACAACTTACGTCAATGAATATAGATAAATCAATAGATTCAAAGATTATAAGATGTTGTATTCTACCACTAGCTCGAAGTTTTGATTGGTTGATTTGATACGGAATTTTGAGAAGTGCTGTGATGTCTCATGTGATGAAGGGGTGGAGCGTGGATAGCCGAGACTTTCCAAGGATTGTGATGGGTTATATGGGGCAAATGTAAATTTTAGCGGCTTGAGATGTTTACACGACATTGAAATGGAGGTGGCACACCTTCTTTGTTTTGAACGGTTTATTTCAAAAGCTTCAAAGTGCGCACTTTTTGATGAATTACTTGCACTGGAAATTCCTATTTGAGATTCTTGCGCATTTATGGATCGCGACTTGATACCTGTACGTGGTCATCAATTGACTAGACTGCGCGATGGACACAAAGAGTTGCATGATTGAAAGATCATACAACTTGGATCGGCGGCTCACCTCCCTATTTTTGAGATGGGTGGATGAGATTCACTATCGACGTTGGATGCTCACTGTTTACTGACCCGCAATCAGACAGATTGACTGAGCTAATAATCGTGTAGTGCCCAATTTGGAGTTGTTTTGTTGCATGGGCCCTTGATCATTACATTTTGCGACCTGGTTGCCTTTGAGCTATCCTCTCCCCGGAGAGACAAAAGGTTAACAACCCAAGCTTCCGTCGGAACGGAACTTTGGTCCGAAGTTTGGTACGGGTGTGCCGAAATTAGCAGAAACGTGCACGCGCGTGGTAAACACTCAGTTGTGAACCTTGCAGGTACGGGTGTACCGAAGTTAGCAGACGCGTGCACACGTGTGGTAAACACTCAGTTGTGAACCTTGCAGGTACGAGCTCGAATCTCAGCGCCAATACTGTTTCCAATCAGGATTCCGAGATCGTGCTAGCATCTTGTTTCTATTGCGTTCTAGAAGCAGTCAGGGTATAGTGATAAGTATGATCAGTATGTTTTTGCTGTCATTGGGGATGCCATTGATTTAAGTAAATCGCGTAATCATTGGAGTATAAGTGACTGCATGATATGCATGAAAATCGTGAATATGAAACAGGGGAAAATTTGGCTTGCCGGTTTTATGACTTCCTCTATTGTATTCCTCTTGAATGGGTGTACATTTACTAGTAATTTGCTGATAGACGAAACAGGCGGCAATATACCTTCAACAAGGAATGGAAAACGCAAAGAGTATTCAAATATCTGTATAAATACATTCCTTTTCCTTTTTTTTTTAATGGTGCGCAAAATCAATCCATCCCTTTAACTCATCTTCGAAGTTCGCTGTCTCAAAGTATTTCAATGTCGTTATCAAACTCTTCTGTGTTCAAGGACCTCGATTCAATCTGCCGAAGACTTCTTTTTCGAACCTCAAAATATGAAGATCCTATACTGCGTATCTCAGTCCGAGATTTAGCACGTTTATGTAAGCTGCTGAATCAGAAATATCAACAGTACTTAACGGCCACCGCTCTGGAACATGAGGGTCGCTCTTCACTCAAACATTGCCCCGGCCGGGCTAAGACAAGGAATTCGGCACAAGATCTAGTGCTTGATCTAGAAGAATTGTCGCAGGAATGTAGAAGCGAAATGGCGCATGTTATGTCACTACTTGACTCAATCGCCATTCTTGATCAAGGGTCATACTCACACATGAACGGGAATCGAGCACCCGTGGCCGACCAATTTCGAACCGGATCTCTTCAAGAAGAAACGTCATTCATGAAAACGAAGATGGCACGAGTGGGGGAGCTGACCGAAAGCCTCTTCCTTCCAAACATGATCAGCGATGCCAAGGAACAACTTATGAAACTAAGAAAAGTTCGGACTGCACAAGATCACGAGGTAGAAGATGCATATCAAAGGTTTCGAGATTCTTATCACGACTCTATGTTAGTTACCTTCAAAAGCCTTAACATGCAAATGCTAATGAATCTAAAGGAACAACATGGAGAAGATTGTAAAGATCTGTAATGCTCACCATGACCGGATCTATGTTCACACATTTACAGAAGCGGAGAAGGTGCCATATGAAGCCGACCTTGATATCCCTCAGGCCGAGGGAAGTTTTGGCATCGTCTACAAAGCAGTGAATACAACAAACAATACTGTCTTCGCTGTAAAGATGTTTAAAAAGGTATACTCCTCAAAGCAGCGGAGTATGATATTGAAGGAGTTGGGACTACTGGATAGATGCAACCATCCAAACCTGCTCACCTTGATGGACGCCTACCAAGTACACGACGATCCACATACCTTTTACCTGGTTACTCAGCCCTGGGCGCCATATACGCTGGAAATGTTTATCCATGAGACGGACAATCAGAGACGAAAATCGTGTCCATGGTTCGCATCGAGTTCAATAATGAAAGGAACAAAGATACTGATGGTGTTGAAAGGGCTGGCAGACGGTCTTGATTACCTCCATGAACATTCGATAAAGCATAAGGATATAAAGCCAGATAACATCCTGCTTTATGATGATAGTACTAGAGGGATCCGGCCGATAATTGCAGATTTCGGTGAGAGCAAAGTCTTCAGGCAAGGTGGAACCACGAACTATTCCAAGAGCACGTATCATTATCTTGCGCCCGAACAAGTCAACCACACAGACAGTAGTCTTAAGGCAGATGTCTGGCAGATGGGTTGTTGCTTTGCGTTCTTGTTGGTAATTCTTAGTGAAGGATCCCGAGGGTCATGGGAATTATGGGGAAGCTTTAACAACGATGATCCAAACTGCTCCTGCAGAATCTCGACGGAATCCGAAGAGTTTATGGAGACTCTACGGCGACTTTGCTGGAAAAGCGCATACTCCCAGGAGCATGTCCTGTGGATAGTCACCGGGATGCTAGAGCTACTACCAACGGCACGAATGGATATTCGAGCCGTGAGAGAGGAGTTGTCGCAGCTTACCTGAGAAATGTTTTAGATAGGTACATGCTCTACGTGGACTCAATGAGTCCGTAAATTCAATCTATTTCCTATTCTTGAGATTTAAGTGATGTGTGGAGTAGTATCTGCGATAGGATGAGCAATCGCTCTGTGTTAATGTAGCATAGGTAATATTTCAAATCTTCGAAAAAAATAAAATTATCGTAATGATAGGTAACGGGTTTGGGAAAGGGGATTGTTCACACAGATAAAGATAACGAAGCCATCAAATTTACTCAGAACTTCCAGCAATCGGTAAAATTTGTTTCATATGTTGTGCATGGAAAACACGTGCTAGTCACGTGTCTCATATTGTAGCTAGTATTCATAGACTTTTTTGGTGTAGTTTAGAAAAGGCATTCTGTTCCTACCTTCCTATTATCCCTCTTACGTGTTACGTGAGTGCTATTTAGAGCCTCCTATCCCTTTCTTCCATCGGAGGCGCTACATTCACAGTGACATTTCTACGGTATATACGAAGGCTTTCTCTACGACCTTGTCACCTTCTACTCTTTTACAATATACTGTAAGACAGCTTTGTATAAGGGGATCCTAATTATAATATTTTATTTCCATGTTCTCGGTAAAATTTCTTCGAGATTCAAAAGTCAAAAGGATCGAAGTCCGACTTATCATTCAAATAGCTAAAGTTCATAATTAATATATTCAACACTTCTTCAATTCTTAATGAGCTCTTTCAATAAATTTCATGATTTTGCTTGTCTTCCGTATGTGGTTCTATTTGTGTCTTTTCATGTATCTTTAAAGGGGGCCATTCTCTGATGGAATATCGATACACATGTTTTGCTGATAGAAAGTTTCGAACACTTGAGAGACTCCCCGATAAATTATTGTCACCCTCTTGCTTGAAGCCTTTAAGATTTGAGACAATGCTGCGTTGTATTTATCGAATACCTCTCAGTAATCTTCAGTTAAGGTTTCCCTGTGTAGTAGATACTTTCATGGAGACAATTTTCTAAGAATCTTTAAACATTCTTAAGCAGCTCACCCTGGACTCAATGACGACCGAGATTTGAGAGCAGTGGCGATCTAACATATTGTCGAGGTACAGTAGAAGCACCGGGCATACAGATGAGGAAATACGATATTCCGAAATAAATGATCATTTGAAAATTGCCGTACTCCCGCGCTACCGGTACGACATCCATATGTGGAACTCCGATATCAGTGTCTAATCCAACCCCATTCCCAGTCTAATATACATTCCCTTCTATCCCAAGATTCTAAACCAAGATTACCAGTCTTAGATACCATTTTGATATAGTTTTCCTCCAGCTTTGATATCAAACTCAGTAGCCTCTTTCAACCCACAACTATCAAAGAGATCTCTCACTGCCACTCCATCACCCTTCGTGTTCCCATCCTCCAACAATTCTTTATATGCCTTTCCTACACTCTCAAAAACGGCTCCTAGTGCTAATGTAGGCGTGATAACCAATCTATATCCACATTGCTTGGCTTCCTTGACACTTAACACTGGACTCACACCACCAGGTACACAATTGTATAAACATGGTATCTTCTTCTTTCCAAATTCCTGACATACTCTCTTCGCATCCTCTACATTTCTGACACCCTCCAAGAACACCACATCTGCACCCGCATCCACTGCCGCATGCAAGCGCAAAACAGCTTCATCATAACCATGATCAGCTAATGCGTCAGTTCGCGCAATAATCACAATATCTCTTCCCAACTCCTTGCGTTTGAGATCTGCTGCCCGAATTCTCGAGACGAATTCTGGGAGTGGAACGAGTTCTTTATTGCGGAGGTGACCGCAACGTTTATTGACGACTTGGTCTTCAATGTGCATGGCAGCTACGCCTGCAGAAATGTATGAAGCGACGGTACGAGATACCATAAGGGGACCTAGCAATTGTTAATATTATATGATAGTCTTTGTAGATACTCGCATCGCTTGATCAAACAAGGAAGAAATTGTTTATTTACTGACCTCCATAGCCGGTGTCTGCATCTGCGATCAATGGGATGGAAGGATCGATGTTGGCGATCATGGATGCATTATCTCGCATATCATTCATGGTGGCGACCCCTAAATCTGCAATACCAAGGCAAGACATAGTTGTCCCGGCACCTGTCTATTTTTCACATCGTCAATTACTATTTTGAGGACTGAACTGAGAGTAACGTTTAATTGGTCGAGAAATACCATGTATAATGTTTTGAATCCTGTATTCAGTGCAAGACGCGCTGTGAAGCCATCGTATACGCCTGGGCAAACAACAACTTCATTCTCATTAGCTAAAAGAGCTCGAAGCTTGGCGGCGGTCGTCATATTGTATTGAGCTTGGTTTCGTTTATTGATTAGATTTAAAGGAATTCAATTTGGCGTTGTTCTTTTAAATGTGCTAAAGCATAATAATCGTCGCAGGGTTGATCACTGTAATTGACATCATCGCCTCCGATCACGGCGGTAGCTTTACGCGAGTCACGAAAAGGGGAATTGTAAAAGCCGAATTTTTATAGTGAAGATTCGGATTTTGTGTGACAACTCGAACCACAAGATTTGTAATCAAATATCCACTTGGAGGACGACCACATTAATCGGTTGATGGGGAACCTCGATTGTGAGTAATTCATTCCGTAAGTTTTAACCGTGCTGCTCTAGCCATATGGCCATGAAAGAACTCCACAGATTTATGTCCCGCCCAGATTCCCGTTCCCGCCCAAAATTTCATATACTCCAGTATTATCATAGCCCTGTTTCTCGTTGACGCCTTCATCGAACAGTTTCATTATCTCATGAACTTTCTTTCATTTTTCCACAAGTAGAGCAAGTCCACCATTGATTTTCCATTTTGGTGCTGCACCATCGACAAGTCCACATTTGTGGTTGGGGTGGAAGAGGTCTGGCTGCGGCTTTCCTCTGAGAATTTCGATCAATCTGCTTCGTGATGCTTTCTGGCCTTTCGGTAGTGCAGGCATCGCAGCACAAAAAATCGATCGGGTTGTGAAGTGTACATATAGTACATGTCCATCCCGTCAAGGTAGGTGCAGTGTATACTGGTACTTGTGCTGGTTCGTTTTGAGGATCCTTTGGCTTTGGGGGCGATTTTGACTTGATTGAATTCTCGAGCACTAGACGACTGACATGGCCCAAAGGCTGCCGAGATGTTCCCAAGCCGGCCGAGGTCAAAGCCGAAGTTGCGGGTCGTCCAGCTGAAGGTTGTTCAGACGAAGACTTGAAATTTTCATCCAATGCCCTCCCCTCAACATTACCGCCGCTAGTTCCCGCAGGGTTTTGGACAGAAGGAGGAACATAAAGGTCTCCATACTCCTTCTTCTGATCTTCTTGAACAAGCTCCCACATAGCTTGAGCAATTGCTGCCTCGTTAGCTAAATCTTCTTCTGCTACAGTGTTGAATCCATTGTGCGTAGCTTCATCGGCCAAATCTTTGATCTCGATAGGGTTCATCCTGCTCTCTCCACAACCTTTGAGGACTTTGTTTCGGCGCTCGATCGCATCTACGATAACCTTCCGAATATCGGTACCATATGGCACTGGTCGACCTCCCAGCTTCTGGTCCGATCCCTTTAAAGAATTCTGTCGTTTCTCTGCAGCTATGCGGGCTAGACGTCTTGCTTCGTGTCGTGGTACTCTGCGTCCACCCAAACTCTTTCCTTCTGACAGGAAACCTTCTCCAGTATATCCTTTGTCTATCAGACCTTCATGTTCCTTCCGTAGTTGATCCCATAAAGCATGAAATTCTTGATTGTGAGGTCCGATCTCGTTATGGCATAATTCATGAAGCATTGTATCAACCACCTGTTCTATCGGCAGAAATTGATTTTGATCTCCAGGATATCTCAACCGTAGACATATTTTCTGCCCTCTATTTACGTTAAGACCTGTTTCCCAAAGTGAGTTCTTTTACCGCTACAAATCGTGCGAGTAGATCAGCATACCTAGTAGATTTTGCTGGTCTGGGTAGAATTCTGTTAAAGTACCTACACGCCAAAGACGTGCTCTCATAATAGGTTTGACTAACGACGCAATTTTCTTGAGAGAATGGAGTGCTTCAGCTTCCCGTTTCATTCCTTTTAAGTGAGAGTATGACGATATGAGTGCATCGCGTTCAGTATTAGTAGACATTTTTAGGAACCAGCTAGCAAAACAATGATGAGGGGGTCAAGTATTCCGTTGGTTATGGAAGAATATGCATAGATCCGTTTATGATTTCTCTAAGATGGAGGAGGAAAGTTTTGTCGTTGTATAAACCTAAATGAACGGCCCTAGAAACTACTAGAAGGAAGACTTTATTGGTAATGGAAGGTATCCTGTCGTATCGAAATTGTAATCAAGCAGGCAAACACAAGGCTGACGCGCCAACATATTCACATATACTTGTCCCGCATTTCGATTATGGAAATTTAAATGGGTCGCTAGATTTTGCTTGTCGATAAGATAAGGCTCACAAGGCTGAAGATAAATGATGTCGGCCGAGCTTTCCTTCCCCACACTTCAAGCAAGTTTCTAGATTAAATATCACCAAGTCACTTGAGAGTAAATTTCATCAAAAAGCTGTTCAAAATGTCTGCAGATGATCAAGTTTTCTTTGACACTGTAAGTATCCTGTTTTATTCAAGGTCATAGCTGCTGATAGCATGTTCTGACAGTTGTCCTCCGTACCGAATGATATCAAGAAGTATAGCAATGATGTTGCAGATTATATCGAAAGACATATTGATAAGGTAGCTAAATCAATAAGAGTGTCTCTCGCCTCTGCAGAATGGATTCCTGCATCTGCGCGACCCAGACCACCGCCGTCAACTCAGACCGTCGCGGCATCTCAATCAGTATATACCCGGATTGAACAATGGGTATCAAAGAACAAGCTCCTCACAGGAGCTATCATCGTAGTAATGGGTGGAGTGACATATTATGTCATTAGAAAGAAGTCAAACTACCGCAAAAAACGCAGAGCGAAGCGGGCAGCGACCGGGGCAAGACAAGAAGTTGTGGTAATTGCAGGATCCCCGTCAGAACCAATAACTAGGTCGATCTCTTTGGATTTGGAGCGCCGAGGATTCATTGTTTATGTCGTATGCAATACGATAGAGGAAGAAGTCCTCGTACAGAACGAATCTAGGCAAGATATTAAACCTTTGATGATCGATATCGTTGATGTGAGTTTGTAATATTTGTCACCCGAGTTATGTAAACTAATGTTATTGTAGCCATCAAGCGCCTCTGCTGCAATCGAAAGATTCACGGCGCATTTACGAGCACCACATTCCCCTTTTCAAGGTGGTAAAACCCATCACTTGATATTCCGATCTCTTATTCTTATTCCTTCACTTGCTTATCCATCTTCTCCGATCGCCACTCTATCGGCGTCGACATTATCGGATCTCCTCAATACTCGTCTATTGAATCCCATTCTCACCCTTCAAAACTTCCTTCCTCTTCTCACGGAGTTACCATTTCAGGGCACTCATAGCAAGAACTTTCCAAAGCCTTCCGTTCTCGTCTTGACTCCCAACATTATACCGTCTCTCTCACCTGCATTCCACGCCCCGAGTCCTCCACCACATCTTTCCTCAAAACATTTACCCAAGTTCTCACATCCGAGCTTTCCCCTCTTTCCATCCCCGTGATCAACCTCCAGCTTGGAACTTTTGATTTCTCTTTCTTTGGACCTAAGAATCAACTTCAATCATACCGAGTTCGCTCTCCTTCTAACTCAGATTGGGATTCATCGTCCCGGCACGTATATTCACGCAATTATGCTGCCGTAAATCGGTCAAACATAGGGGCAGCGATGGGTTGTGGATCACAAGGTGGAGGCTACGGAAAAGGCAGTAGTCTCCGAGAACTAAACAATGCGGTTTTCGACGCCATGGAAAGAAAGAATGGTGGAATCATTCGAGTGGGTATGGGAAGCAGCGTGTATGGATTTATTGGGGCATGGGTGCCTCGGGGATTGGTAGGGTGGATGATGGGAGTTAAGAAGTTCAAGCCGGAACCCGCTGACGAAATTTCTCACGCGAGCATACCTGGAAGTTCTAGTACATCGAGCTTTGAGGGCAGACCTTTCACGCCCGATAGTAGCGAGATGAGCGGGGGAGCTGGCTTAGCCGGAAGTGACTACATTTCGGTTACGAGTCAACAGGGAAATTAAGCCATCGGATGTTGACATCTTGAGAAGGTATATAGGACATGCTATGGAATCTAATGGGTGGATTGGATCATGTGGTTGTTTTTAGTTTGCATCGTTGGAATCTTGGATTGTGAAACATGGCGTTTTGGGGATATGGGATTTGGACAGGCGCAGACATCTCCACTTGTAAACATAGTCAAGTTGTTTGCACCATAGTTATTGATTTAGTTCTCACAAAGTGGACGAATAAAACACATCCCAGTCGAATACAACAATAATTTAACGATGTTTATTAGATGGGCCAGATGTTCAAAGGCATAATTTCATTTTGGGGTGCAATTTATCTTTTCCACCGCATGCTCCTCTTCGATAGTACTGGCTTCTACAAAAGTCCATGCTAGTTCTTAATTCATTGAATATAATTTGCATTGCACTATTGGTAGATCTAAACTCGGCATCAAACAGGCTTGATGTTCGTTATGTCCCAAGCCACGCCGTTCCCGTGCCTGGGAATGTCACGATGTTCCAGACCGATATGGTTGAGATAATCATCCCATGTGGAACTACAAATGACAAGAAAAGAATTGATCGACACTATGCCATTGAGAGCTTTTCCGCTTTCGGGAATGTTTGCATGACGCAGCTCGGTCTATTGGTCGAGTCGCTCAGTACCCTGTTCATAAAGTGGCTGGTAATATCCAGCTTTTTAGTCGTGTCTCAGCCTTGTTGTGATGAAGACGGCTTTCTTGCATATGTTGCGGGAAGGATGGGGCTTGCCTTGCATGACAGACCCGTTTTCTTTGTTAGTAGCGGTGAGACGACCAACGAGATCGATATAATTTTGATGGGTATGGAGTGGAAGGCCTGTGTAACCCACAACGTGGAAGTCGATAGTAATTTGTCCTGATGGAAAATAGCTCAAGATCCCGTAATTGTAGTCCATCATCATCAGGGTTCCCCTCATGAGCTGCATAATAATTGAGTTTTGGTTTCGCATCCCGTATCCTTAATGTCCGCGCCCTCGTTGACCCCTTTCGCCTCCACCACCCCTTCCACGATAGCTAAATCCACCCCTCCACCTCTGTCTAGGTCGACCTTCTCCAAATCCTCTTTCCCTGTCCGCCTCTCTCTCTGCATTCTCTCTGATTCTCGCTTGTTCTTCGGCAACTTCTTCTGGATCCCTCTCGACCTTGATAGTTGGCTTCGGTAAGTCAGAAGGCCATCTGGGATGAGCCTTTTTACATTTGGGTCCATCTGGACAAAATCCTGCTAGGTAAAATTCGCAGAGTGCTTTGCGTATGTGCTTTTTGGAGCACCTGGGACCCAGCGGACAAAACCCCTTATCATAATGCGGGCAATTTCCCATTTTCGAGGCAGGATCAACATGTAAATAAAGACACTCATCTAGACTAGTTAGTGTAACTCTTGAAGCATCAGATAGCTGTACAAACTTACCTCCATTAGAGCAATAGCCGTTCTTTACAAAGAAGTTGCATTCCGGCATCTTCCTCAAGTTGAACTCGTGAAGAAACTCGCATGTTTCACCTTTTTTACAGAGGCCCTTAGCCAATGTTTGCAAACCATGTTGTTGAAATTCCATGAGTTGTTGGGATTGGTAGCATGCTTATCAGGGCAATTAGCCCCGAGAGGACAGTGCCCTTGAAGATATGCTTTACACGTAGGCCGATCGGGCGAAATACCCATGCGATAGTTGTTAAACAGAAAAGGTGTGAATGAAAACTTGTATGCTGGGGCTTTGTGATCTAGAATTTGCTGGGCTGCAGAAGCTGAAGCCTGTGCTGCGAAAGCACTGGGTTTCTGCCGTAGTATTTCAGCCATATTCGGTATCTTATGGGTCGGCTGAGAACTGAGCTTTTTGTTGCTGATTGAATGATTTCGCAATGTGATCTGCCGGAGGGAGCAAAGCAGACGATTTATGTAGGTGATTGCGAATCTGGTGGAGCTCAATGTACGTGTTGAGGCTTGTTTTATTAGATAGACAATTAAGATGTGCCTTGAATTTACCTGAACAGTGCGATATGTATTGTGATTGAAAGGCGAAATTCACATTATATGGATCAAGATCCGAACCTCAACTTGAGTGTGGGTGTACAAAGAGTGATGATTTCAAAGAAGTGATCTGGTGATGTCTAGAAAGATTGATTTCTTGACAGCCTCGCGTATTAGTAATCGTATTCCAGAATTCATCATTATCAATACGGTTAGCGCCAGCCTATTATAATTGTGAAACTGGGGGTCACCTCAACATCCTGAGCTGCATGTTAACCCAAATAAATGAATTCGCGAGGTGGATGGGTATTTTAATAATAATTGCAGCCACAATTGGCACAGTTTTTAGAACCGAACAGCAAACATACCGGGTAATGGGCAATCATGTAGGTACGCTTTACTCATGCCCAATAATGAGATATCAATCTTCATTTGAGTGATACCAAGTTTTTGATGCAGCTACTTACTACTCTGCCGCACCAACAACAAGTACGGTACTAGATAAGTAAGTAGGGAGGTAGGTAACACCTGAGGACTGGCACGATTCGGCTAGATACACCTACTGCACTTCAATATGCGTGCCAACTCGGCTCCTTCTGCATCTCAGTTCAAGATAAAGAGCGCGACCTACCATTCGGCATTTCAGGTTGTTTTGCGGCTAAAGCTATGGCCATTGATCTTTTCTTTTGCCGATCCGATTCACATTTCTTTGCTATGCTGCTTGCATCTTTTATCTTTGTGGAATGCCCTGTGCCGATTCTGAGCCGGTACCATGATACTTGCTCAATGCATCTGTTAGATATAGAGCTGGAACTTCTATCACATTGCTACAGCAATAAGTGTATCGGATTTCTCAGAATGTCCACTGACACATCAGACCTCGGGCGATCCTCATAGATTAGCTTGCGATAGGTTACTGGCTAAGCCATTGGGTGTTTGCACTCATTTTCTCAGATACCAGCACCTCACCCAAATACTTGCCAGTTGTCCTTAGCAAGCCAAATCTCCACAAAAAAAGATCATGAAGGTTTTAAACATTTTCCCACGATACTGATGAAGCAAGGATAGGGTTATAACAGTTGATGACGGTGAATTTTGAAAGATTGGTTACCGATGCCTGAAGGTGCATTGACGCTGCAGAGCTGTTCACATATTGTGAGTAGGCTGGTGATGATACCTGGTACCTAGATAGTAGGGAGGTAGTAGGTAGATAGTAGGTCATATGTATGGAGCTACTAGGTATGTCAGGTCAGTAGCTCAGTAGATGAGTTAGGTAGGAGGTAGGGTCGCTATTTTGCATCGATATCATGAGCCATGGCGCATGCAATGCCATGCATGCATGCAGGATGGATGAACGAGTCAGAACACGAACTTTGCACGTTGATCTTGGTTATTGGAATCTTCAAAACCCACATTCAATTGGCAAAATAAATTGTACATTTATCTGTCCAGCACTGGATTTTCTATTTATTTTCTTTTTGACCCCTCTAGTTTCTAAGGGTTTAGCCGATGAGCATTGCATTAGATTGCTGTAACATGGTGGATGCAATGGGTACCCAGGTATAGTCGAAAAGCATGTTTAACTTTTAATCTTGATCCTGATCCTGATCCTAATCCCGATCTCAATGCAACAGGTTAATGAATCGAATGGTGAATGGTTCAAACTTCGACGAGAGCAAAGGGGAAGATTCCGAATACGGTATCGTCGGTTCGGTGGCGTGGCAAACAGAATATAAATTTGGATTGATAGTGATACTCAAAATAATATTGGCCGGTGGAGGTTGAGATGCATTCTTCAAACTAATAAGGTAATAAACGTTCTCCTCTTTCACGAAAAGCTATTCTCAGCTCGCCGAATGATCTTCCGTCGTTCTTCCGATACTCTTTTTGAGCCTACATCGATACGATACTGCTTTCTCTGATTCCAATGGTAAAGCTACGGAACAGTGAATTTGATTCGATCTGTTTTACGCAACGCCACAGCCACATACACATATTGCTTGTTGGTCTGGTGTGCAGGTGGTGCAGATCTACCTCCGGGATACTAACCTAAAGATACCTACCTCCCTAGGTATGAGTGTATATACGGCTGCGGCAGTCATAGATTTATCTTTAGACCCTTCACGTATGTATCAGAGGAAGAAGAGAGTTACATACATACCTATTGGTACATGGCAATCGTCCCATTCGACTTATTGAAACCAGCTTTAATTTGGCTAGTATCGCTCATGGCTCGGATCTTCCCTTAGGTCGTCTTGCCGTCGATTTTGAAATTTATCCTTAACTAGGAACTTCCTTACAAAGTCATCATCCCCACACACTTTTTCCTTCATCGCTCCACTATCACAAGCTCCCACAATTCAGCTATGCTAGTCTGCTGGTGGATTTATTAGTGAATATGTATGATTGATCTCCTCCTTCGTCATTTCTCATGCATATGTACTACCAAATACCGACCTTTGATTCTCCATCTTCAAGCATAATCAGCCTTGCAGGTGAATTCATTGGTACCAAGTTTGTTCAAACATTAACGCTCCCCTCAAGATCAAGGGAGCTGCTTTCAAGTTCTTATCTTCCCCATCTTTCTCTAAATCAGTCACTCATCTACCTTCTCTTCGATACTTTTGCTTCCCAACGTGGACTTGAATCAAGACGAAGGTATCTGCGGGAGGTAATTCATTCACTGGTTTCCATTCTTTCTCGCCTGCTTAAAGATGTCATATCCATACGGAGCTCCTCCTATACCCTGGAACTCGAGACCACAGATAGACACTCGGAGACCCTCTCAACCATCAATCGCCGCGAGTATCTCTAACATTATGTATAAAAACGCCGTGTACTACCCCAACTATCGAGTGTATCGCGGAGAGACACCTGGATCACTGAACTTTGGCTGTATCAGCCATGTCTTTTATGCTTTTGCTCATGTTGGCCCGGATGGTGGAGTTTTTGTTGGTTTTTCGTCCCTTGAAATGACACCTCCGACTATTGCTAACTACATCAGTTGAGCGATGAATGGGCAGATATGCAAATGCCCGTTGACGGTGCCACTGGAGGTGGCTGTCTAGGGTCATTCATGCGTTTAAAACAACAGCATCCGCATCTCCAGCTCATCATCTCTATAGGTGGTGGTGCGGCAAGCCAACATTTTCCGCAAGTTGCTGCTTCAGCTGCCACGAGAGATCATTTCGGAAAGTCGGTCCGAGGTCTAGTTGATGCCACAGGTTTCAATGGTGTTGATAGTAAGTTTTGATTCTATGGTTGACAACAATCATACTGACAAGCTAGTCGACTGGGAACATCCATCAGATCCTGAACAAGGTCGAAATTTCCTTGCTCTTCTCGCTGCCATTCGAATTCATCTACCCGACGAAAGATATCTTTTAACAGCTGCTTTACCTGCCGGACGATGGGCTTTGCAAAATATCGATCTTTATAAAGCTCAAGATTATTTGTAAGGATGATTTATACCCACAATCCTCGAGCCATGAAGTCTTGATCTATGAAATACATTCTTTCCCCATTACCGTATTCCATAAACTAGCTGTACTAACATGTTCTCTTGTTTTAGAGATCTGATCAATCTTATGGCCTACGACTTTCATGGTTCATGGTCCCAAAAGTCAGGACATCACGCCCAACTTTTTCCTGGAAACGTGCCGGATGCAGCAAATGGAAGTGCTGCTGTCGATTATGTTGTATCGACTGGGTTCCCAGCCTCAAAGATATTACTTGGAGTTCCAGTATATGGAAGATCCTTTTTGAACTCTAGAGGACCAGGGCACCCATATCAAGGCTGCGGTGGGGAAGAGGGAACATTTGAGTACAAGTTATTACCGCGGCCTGGAACTCAAGAAGTAGTTGATACTACCACTATCTCAGCCTCCTGTCATGGAGGTGACGGGGGATGGGTCTCTTACGACAACCCACAAACAGTCAGAATGAAAGCTGACTATTGTAGACAAAGGCGTCTTGGAGTAGGTCGCCCCCTTTTCTGTTGGTCATAGGCGTTTACTGATAGAATTCAGGGACTGTTTTACTGGACCGGGACAGCAGATGCACCAGGCCCGCGAAGTTTGATATCGGCTGGATTCAAAGCTCTACATGATGCGTAAAGAACCGAATGTTCGTATTTGTATGGCGCATCGAGTGTGCTAATTCGGTGGTTCGGAAGACGAGGGCTTTCAACATTCATAAATATTCTGAATGCTCAAGGACCCGATTAGGCAGATTTGGGAAATAGAGTCTTCTCAGGGGTTTTGATTGTTTTTGGAGATGGAATTGAAGGCCGGCTCTCTATTCGGTATTATCACGAGTTATGACGAAACGACAAAGAAATAGCATGGGGCGGTGTTCTTAAAACACTATGGGGTCAAGCATACTCATACTATAAGTAGCTATACGGCTCAATGTATAATAAGGCGATTCATAAAAAAAACATACTTCTGTAATGGAGCTCAAAAATATCAAACCTTTTTTGAAATTTAACTTGGTTGAAAGGCTGACGAGGCTGACATGTGTTGAGGATGCACGCATAGACAGTGCGACCACTTTCTACTTTATCATGAGAAAGGAATGATACCAAACACCTTTTTACAACTGCACATCAATAATTACTTGGTTTATTCATACATGCATTGGTCATTAGTATATTGAGTGCTGTTCTCAATAATTTAATTTATTTCATTACACTCATTACAGCATGAATGGCGTATCGATCCCTTCATCCCTGGATGCATGTAAGTCCCCCAACCTCACTTCTACGACATTCAATAATAATCCCCACTGATCATGCTCACTCCCCGCAGCTGATTATGATCCTATTGACCATTTGAACACGATATTTTCCCATCCTTCGACTTTGTCCTCTATAGATCAAACGGCTGCTGCTCTACAAACTCATCAGGATGAGCTGTCGAATAATATCGCGAATCTCGTGGCCACTCAAGCATACAATGATGATTCCTCACTCAAACGGATGCAGTCTGCAAAGTCGGAGCTTGCAGATCTTTTTAGAAAGATTGAATCCGTACGAACACGGGCTATACAAACAGAGCAAACGATCACCTCGATGACCGCAGATATCAAGAGACTGGATGGCACAAAGAAGAACCTTACCCTGAGCATGACGGCTCTGAAAAGGTTACAAATGCTTACAACTGCTTACGAACAATTAAGGGGTCTAGCCAAAACAAGACAATATCGAGAATGTGCAAGCTTGCTTCAAGCTGTACTGCAACTTATGAAGCATTTCAATAGCTATAGGAGCATAGACCAGATTGCTACCTTGAGTAGAGGTGTTTCAGAGTTACAAAGAGAGTTGTTGGAGCAAGTCTGCGAGGACTTTGAGATGGCGTTTGCCAAAGGAGAAGTGGGGAGCAAGAAAGCAGTGCTGGCAGAGTCATGTCTGGTGATGGACGCATTGGGAGATAACGCTCGGGCAAGATTGGTGACGTGGTATGTCAATACGCAATTGAGGGAATATAGGCAGGTGTTCAGGGGAAACGATGAAGCTGGAAGCTTGGATAATATTGGTAGAAGATACAGTTGGTTCAGGAGAATGCTGAAGACATTCGAGGATGAACATGCGGGAATATTTCCTGCTGGGTGGAGAGTCAATGAGGTTCTGGCAAATGCCTTCTGCGAAGGCACTAGGGATGATTTTAAGGGAATCTTGGAGCGGAGCATGAGGCGAACAGATGGAAGTAGGATAGACGTCAATTTGCTCCTAAGTTGCCTACAGGAAACTCTGGATTTCGAGCAAAGTCTTGAAAAGAGATTCGCTACAGGGGCGAGAGCAAGCATTGATACTCTCAGCTCACTCGAGGATAAACCTCTGACATTTCACGGGTCTATTTCGGAAGCCTTCGAACCATATCTTAGTCTTTGGGTTGATTCACAAGACAAGCAACTCGCCACAATGATACCCAAATATCGAATTCAACCATTATTAGCAGCCGATGAAGAGTTCTCTCCACAGGCTGTGATTGCGTCATCTATCGAGCTTTTCCATTTTTACAAGACATCCCTGGCTCAATGTGCCAAGTTGTCAACCAGTGAACGGCTTCTTGACTTCTCAAAGATCTTAGCTAAATATCTCGATCAATATGCTCAGCAGGTTTTACTATTTTTCTTACAAGGAGCTGGAGGACCCAGTCTTGAGAACACTATCCTTGTTCTCAACACAGCGGATTATTGGCACGCAAACACTCAGCAATTAGAAGATAATCTGAAACGGAGAATTGACAGTGAATTGGCACCCAAAGTGGACTTATCGTCACAATCCGATACTTTTATGGGTGTTGCCAGCGCAGCAGTTCTATCATTGGTAAACAGAGTTGAACTCGATTGCGAAGGAGCATGGCGTGAGATGAAGAATACAAATTGGAGTAAAATGGAAAGCGTGGGGGATCAGAGCAGTTATGTGGCAGAGTTATTGAAACATGTCAATGATCAAGCGGGGGAAATACTACCGTTGGTGGGGAAGCAGCAATATGCGCGTGCATTCTGTGATAACGTTGTCGAGCATTTGGCCAATACGTATATCGCAAACATCGTTCAATGTCGACCTGTATCCGAGGTAGGCGCAGAGCAGGTATGTAAATTTCCCGAGTGCAAGGTACCCACTTCTATTAAACATTTTTTTCTAACCTGTTATTCAGATGCTACTAGATAAATACGTCTTAACTAAAGGACTGACCACCTTGCTCTCTCACTCCCCCACTCCCTCTTCAGCCACTGCAAATACCGCATTTCAGAAGCGTGTGAATAACATAATGGCTCGCCTGGACCCGCTCCTCAAGACGCTACAGGTCCGTCCCTCACCGCCAGAGGGACTGGTTCAAGCATACCTAATTCACATCGCCGATCGTAGCGATACAAATTTCCGGAAAATTTTAGAATTGAAGGGTGTCAGAAAGCAAGATCAGGCTGCATTGGTGGAAATGTTTGGTATGCACAGAGATGGTAAGGCTAATGAGCAGCTGGTTCAAAACTCACCTCTTCTCACACCACTTATGAATGTTGCCGGGCTTGGTAGTACAGGTCTAGGAATTGGAACACCTGGTGGTATGCCAGGATTACAGACACGATTTGACCCCGCAGGTTTTGGAGAAAAGTTATTTAGTGCGGCCAGGGATAGTATGGGAACTGGAGGGGTTGGCGATAGAGGGGTAAGTCCTTTGAGCGAGGATGCTAAGTCTGCCGTGGAAGGGAATCTGAAGAGTATTGGAAAGTTCTTCAGACGAGATATGTCTGGGTTTGGTGGGATGAATATAGGGGGTAGGTTTGGTGCTAAGAGAGATGGGACTATAGATGATTATACCAAGTAGCAGATGGACGTTTATGGATGGACTTTAGAATAAAATCAGTCCTGTAGTAGTGACGATACCTTTTTGCATAGTGAATTGAATAAAATATAGACCTATTTGTTGTAGTCACCATAATTCGAGACTCAGGGCCGGATAAGATCCGAGGTGAAGGTCATCGCTTAGATAGCAGGCAGATGAGTCTAAGGAATGAACAAAAGAAGGGTTGAGCAAGAGGAAAGCTGCAAAAATACAACGTTGCAGTTAGAGAAATTGATGTTGAGTTTCAAAGCGTGTTTGGTATCGGAATTACGATTGAAGAGTTTCTGGACAGTGTTTATTAATGACAAGGGGGAATGCGTGAGGATCGATAGAGATCCATCTACTTTGGGGTACCGAGAATTGACCTTGGGATTTCGGGATATATCGTAAATATATATCTAGTACCTACCTACCCAGTATTTATCGGATGAAATCGCATGAACTCGCATGAATACGATATCCGGTCTCGCCGTTGAACCTTGAATATGTTTGTAAAATGTTGGAATCCAAGATCTAGAGTATAAATGTTATCTAATCTGATCTGACCTGACCTGATCTGATCTCATTATGTCAACTTAAATCTTACCTAGGTAATAAATAACCTTTGTCTAGGCCCAATCTGTATCTCAATAATAACAAATTGTGAATTCTGCTTATTGATGCAAAAGCCAGACACAAAGGCGGTCCAGATCCCTTAAGGCTTTGGTGATCACGAAATTTTGGCGGGGAACTGGGAACATTGTTTGAAATCAATAATCGTAATAATAGTAATAACGAATCTTCGAGTCTTTTTACATACAAACGAATAAATAAATGAATACTTAACACCACAACTACTTTTCTCCCTTCTTCTTTCCTGTGCAATAATTATTCATTACAATATCTGCGAGTAGATTTATAGATTCATAGATCGAAGACCTTGAACTTCACAGTCACATACACATACTTCAGGATAAAAAACAAAACAAAAAGAGGGGCAGATCATTGCAAATCGACAAGGTGTTTTCTTCAGCTCTTAAACGTACTTTGAGGGCAAGCGGTTCGGGTGTTTCAATTGCGGCTGCTGCTTGTTTTCAACAGAAGAATTCGGTCAAGAGTAATACTGCTGCAAATTTACTGGGAAGAAATATAGAGAGAAAGATGCATAGTAAGGTTGTTAGTGAGTATTGCCCTTCTCTTTCAATGTGGCGGGGGGGATGGGAATGGGACGGGAGTGAGATGGAGAACATGAGGAAATGGATGTAGGAGATGGTATCTACGAACGTATACTGACTTTGTGAAATAGTTATTGGCTCTGGCCCAGCGGCTCACACTGCTGCCGTTTATCTTGCGCGTGCGGAATTGAAACGTAAGTCTATATCCTGAGATCGGAAATTGAGAATTGATGGAGGAGTATCAGGCTGACATTCGGTATTTAGCTGTTCTTTATGAAGGTTTCCTTGCCAATGGAATTGCTGCCGGTGGTCAATTGACCACTACTACCGATGTAGAGAACTTCCCTGGTTTCCCCAAGGGAATTGGTGGACAAGAACTTATGGTAAGTAGATCAGCACTGCTTACATGTATTAGGTAGAACTTCAACTGATAAATCTGTGTAAAGGATAACATGCGCGCACAATCCGAACGATTCGGTACCGAAATCATCACCGAAACCGTTGCCAAAGTAGACCTCTCCAAACGTCCTTTCAAATACTGGACCGAATGGGACGACAAAACAGAACACACAGCCGATTCGATCATCATTGCTACTGGTGCCTCGGCTCGCAGACTCGGTCTTCCAGGAGAGGAGAAATATTGGCAAAACGGTATCTCCGCATGCGCAGTCTGCGACGGGGCTGTTCCAATTTTCAGAAACAAGCCTTTGGTAGTTATTGGTGGTGGAGATAGTGCTGCGGAAGAGGCTATGTTCCTCACGAAATACGGATCCCACGTTACTGTTTTGGTCCGAAAAGATCATCTACGCGCGTCGAAAACAATGGCTAAGAGATTGCTTGCCAATAAGAAAGTTACTGTTAGATTCAACACTGTGGGAGGCGAAATCACTGGTGATGACAAGGGATTGATGACCCACATGGTTTTCAAGAACGTTACTACTGGCGAGGAAGAAAAGGTAGAGGCAAATGGATTGTTCTATGCTGTAGGACATGACCCAGCCACCGCATTGTTCAAGGAGCAAATCGAGACGGATTCCGAAGGATACATTGTCACCAAGCCCGGAACCAGTTATACCAACGTCGAGGGTGTTTTCGCTGCTGGTGATGTTCAGGACAAGAGATACAGACAGGCTATTACTAGTGCAGGTAGGTCATCTATCTATTTTTGTAGACTTGGTGAGAAAAAGACTAATTATATTTATAGGATCCGGATGTATAGCAGCTCTCGAGGCCGAGAAGTTCCTTGCCGAGCAAGAAGATGCTGAAAATGATTTGGAAAAGGCAGATGCTGAAAAGGGTAGCAATGTTGTTGTTCCTGAGTATAGGTCCAATCCTTTGCTTTAGATTTTTCTATCCTTGGCGAGTTCAATTTTTTTGGCATGGCATTATAGATAGAAGTCCTTGCATGGATATCCCCTCAGTTCAATTTCGTTAGAAAGAATAAAGAAAGAATAAAGAAAGAAATATATTGAAACTATCGTTCATTTTCTTTCGCATTGCTTTTGTGTGTGTGTTTTTCGTTTTCCTTGCAGCGCTTTCTATTTGTTCTTTTCAATGTTATGAAAAGGCCACCCTGAAGACCGATCTACACCCCCTTATCACGAAACAGTCCCAAAAAATTGTTCGAGACCTAGTTGGTCGGCCATGAATGCGGTGGTTCGAAAAATTCGAGCTTCTAGATTCCTGGACATCAAAGGACGGTTTGTATGGACGCAGGCGGTGCAACCGAGTTGTAAGCCTGAAATTATTGTGTGGCAGACTATCAACATGGCACGAGTAAAGCAGTTAGCCGATGAAATGCATTAAAACCAACACATGTAAATGATGCAACCACTTAGAGGACCGGGACTTCCTGGAGACCTCATGAGAAGAAATATATTTAAAGTGTCAAGTAGGCCTGTGCCGGTTTTTGATTGTGAGTTTGACTCGGATTGCTTTTCTTGTCATCTGGATTTTTGGAGACTTTTGAAAGAGATTTGATTTTGTATCTTTTGGTTTGCTTCTATCGTTTCCGCTTCTAGATTTAGTTGAATTGAATTGAATTAGTGCAAGAGCGAGCGCATGCAGAAAGAAAGATGTCGACAACATTCGCACTTACATCCGCATCCGCATCCGCGCTGGAAACTCCAGTCATCGTCATCGATACCTGTATCGTAGGTGGAGATTTTGATCATTTTTCTTATTCCTCCTCTTCTCCTTTTACCCCCTCGTTCTCCTCGCTTTCCTCTTCTTCGCCTCAATCTTCCGTCTCGAATTTTCTTAATATTCCTCGTTTTTTCATGATGACTTCACCCTCAACCAGAAATCTAAGAGTCCATCGCAGGAATGCGATTCCGACATCGCCGCTGACGCCGGTTAATAGTCCCGCGTCGCCGGAGGTGCGAGATATCTATTTGGGAGTCCCGGATTTTGGAGTGGGTAGTCCGAGTGTGAGGTGTAAGGGTTGGAGTTCTTCGTCTTCTTCTAGCGAGTGCAAGTCCGAGTGCGATGGTGAGGGGGCTGGAAGAGGAAGGGGAGAGTTGGTGATGAGTCCGATTGCGCCGCCGAATACGCCGTGTTCGCCTTTGGTTTTGGGACGGTTGGACAGGGGTTCGAAGGATGAGGGGGGAGAGGATTGTGAGGTTTTGATTTTGAGTGAGAGTGAGAGTAAGAGTGAGAGTGAGGAGTTTGTAGATAATTTTCGAAACCCTAGTGGGTATTCGATGAGGGAGCGTGTTTTTGGAGATATTCCGCAAATTGTGGTGGGGTGTGAAGAGGAGGGGTGGGGGCAGTTGGGTGTGGATGCGGGAATGGATGTGGGGTGTATTGTGGAAAGTTGGGAGATGGAGATTCAGCTGCGGAATTGATTGAATATAGTATCGATCTGATGATGATGATATAGGTCATGGGTGTGTCTGTTATGGGGTGACTGGAGGATGAAAATGTTTTTGTTTGCTGCGTGTAGCGTGGTGTTTTGGGCTACCGATCGATGCATGGTGCATTTGCTGTTGGAAGTTGATACTTGATACTTGACAAGTAGAATAATACCAATAGTTTGGATTTGTTATTTTTTTACGTGTGACATGGTGTATTTTGATGTTACTACTAGGTATTCTTTTTCTCATCATCGGGCTAGGCCCTGCTAGCTGCAGTCTTTCTAGGCTCTGAATTTTCACAAGACTCTCCTGAATGCATGTCAAAGTACTCGTAGGATGGTTCGTGAGTGATTGAGAATGGAGCTCAACTATTCATCAGGGATGTTAAATTTGAATGGATGTGTGAAGCTAGCTAGGCATTCAGTATTGCCAATCTAATTACGCCTCATTATTTCTATCCATGCTCTTGGCGTTTGCTTGATAACTTGATGAGTTGGCGTTGATTTAACGGCCTCGAGATAAAAATGTTAGTAGAGGAACGTGGAATGTAAATTGATACAGGCAAGATTCAAGCTCAAAGGAAGTCACTCGTAGAGATGTCAACTTCTTGGCTGAGTCAATGTGAGAATAAGAAAATTGATTTGAGTAATAGGGAAGGATTGTAGAGTCAAAGAGGGAAGCTATGCGATCATTTAGTTGTGTAGCGAGCTGCGATTGTGATATTAAGTAGCGTGGCATGAATCTAGGAGGGACACACAATAACATGGTTCGAGATACAAAACTTTTGCATTAGCTATTGATTTACAAGAAAGTTCACTTAGCCCACCTAGTCTTTGGTACGTGTTTGCATCAGAAAAGTGGTGAATCGAATTCACAACCGTGTCTCGGCGAGTGAGATGAAGGGGTTAATTTGATGTATGAGGGTAAGCGAGGTTCTTATTTGCGTTTGTGTTGGAAGTGGGAGGCTTCTATTCATCTACTTTTGATATCCGTGTCGGGATCTTACTTTCGGGTCTATCAAGTTGAGATATAGCTCCAGCAGGAAGACACGATGTGGTATTTGCTTTTAGAGCCTGTGAAAATCTTGCCATCTTTTCTCTCAGTGAATAGTAAGAAATTAGAAGCAGTATTACGAATACAAAGTTGATGATACTGTTTTTAATGCATGGCTCTCTTTGGCTTAGCTTACAATTAAGAATTCAGACTAGCCAACTAGAACAGTGAGCTCGACGTCTAAAACCATGTTGCAACTGGGGTTTGCAAGGAAAGTTTCGTATGGACTAACGAGATTACTGTTTGTTGAAGACTCTTATCAAGCTCATAATCTCTTAGTCAAAGAGCACTATATAATCCATGCAAAGCATCAAACAATTTTATAAGGCACAGCACTAAATGGGTATGTACTGGATCTTGCAGAGCCGATACATCCTCTCGCTCTTCTGTTCTATATATACATACCCCCCGCGAAAGTTCTTAAGATATCTTCAAGAGGCTGATACAGATACGAGTAAGCGTATCACGCTCACTGTCGAATGAAAGTTGATGGAAAGTCTCACGCTCCTCCTACTGCTACCATAGCATTTGAGTTTTCTAGGAGCAAGAGTGTTTGAAAAAGAGAAGGATTGAGTGAGTTGGAGATTGCTGAAAGAACGAATCTTGCGAGTGACAATTTCAAGCTGGTAGGATATCTCACAATTAGCAAGTTGGATCTTCAACCTTGCGTTTCCCTCGTAAATTGGAAACCAGAAACTTTCTATTCTTGGATGTAGGTATTTTGGAGATAACTTCTCTTCTATTACATTTGAAAAGAGAAATGATACATATATAAGTCCTCAGGTTCTCATAACGTTCAACAGCACACACTCATTTAACTTTCAAAGATTACGAAGCACCAACTGCACCACATTCATTTGACCTTCTGGAAGACTACGATTCCATCTCAACACCTTTTATAGCTACATTATCATTATTCAAAATCGCCTTTTATCTCAACCAATAGCTTGTCATTCCTAGTAAAGATGCAATTCTCCACAGCTTCCGTTATGACTTTAGTCCTCGGTCTAGGACTCTCAGTTCAAGGATACACACTTCCTCGTGCACTTAATAAAGCCAATGAGTATCCAGAAGAAAATGGTAAGAATTCTATTACTTACATAAACAAATCCCGAAATTTCCTTATGTGTTTTGATAATCGAAAGAGTGAGCGAATATTCTAACCACTATTGCTAACATTTACCAGTTTGGCCAAAGATGGATCCAACACGCCTACATGGGCCCACACACCAAGTCTTTGTGCCTGCGTCTCTCTTGACAAGACAGATGTCTCTGCCTATTTGGTTGCTATGTCCGGGCAGCGTATGCTTGCATACTCCAATCAGAACTGCAACCCCGGAACAAACGGCGAAGATGGTCTCGGCGATATCGGTGGGGGCTGCGCCGAATTGGACACGCACTTCACGGCAGGCAGAATCGGAAGTGTTTACTGGTATACACCAGCTATTTGCGAGATTGGAGAGGCAATCCTGGCTGGCTTCGAAGCTTTCGTTACCGACGCCACTAAAATGGCGCTCGATGGAATCATCGAGGTTCCGAAATAAGGAACGCTGGATCTGGGTAGTCTTAGGGCTGGGATCGAGTGTGAAATTGATTAGTGGGTAGTATCGCAGCAGGGAGTGGATGTTTCTTTCAAATGAATTACAGCCATTATTCCTGTCATATATGGTCAGGCAACCATTTATTTCTTTCCTTGCTCTCAGAATTCATCATGTGTAGTGTTTCTTGGGCATGAGTTTTAAATTACATCATCAATATATGGCTAGCCCAATCCGTACCAAAACCGAATCCATGTGTAAAGAAATTGACAAGTGGGCCAAGTTCAATACTGAATTGGCGCTCACGTTTTCCTTCGAATTCACTATTGATGTTATCTGATCAGATAACCCATTCATCGCAGAGAACTGGATCTTTCATCAGGTCGAAATTCTATAACTTCACAGTATGAAGTCGATAAGAGAAGTACCAGGATACAATTGCCGCAAGGTTAACCCGTCTAGGTAAGCGATGCGACTCTTTTCATTAGTCTTCAAGTCTTCAACTCAGCAAAGATGCTTTGGTAGTTCCGCGTTGATCTAATCTCCTAGAACCCCCTGCATCTGGTAAGCGATAATGCGACATTACCCCAGCCGAATTAGACCAAACATGGTGAGACCTGCGTTAGTCTATTTTCAATCCACTTTTAATCCTCGACGTTCTCGCGATTCTCGAACCCACTGCCGTACAAGATCTTCACTGGGGCAGATCCGCTGTTGTGCAAGAAGCACAGGTCGCATTAGGAACAGGAACTTGAGAGCTTATCTGTTAGTAGAAATTCTCACAACTAGTATGAAAAGTTTGACGCTGCAACGGGGAAATCGGAAGCCGAAGAGCTGCTCTTTGTGAAGTTTATTATTGGCAGTCTGACATATGATCCATCTCTTGTGCTCTTAAAAAGGAGCCTCTTCCGTAGTTCTTTCGATATCCTTGTCCCGCTATGTACATCAAACGTCATCCCAACAGTTGGATCGGCCTAGCGAACCTGATAGGGGAACAGGTCCGAACCAAAGATGACTTGAAGATATGGAATTTTGCTGTTTAGCATAACAACATGAACCACTTTTCTCGATTTTCCCTGCTCCATGCCCTAGATTTGCATCTTGCTTTTACAATCACTATTGTTTAGTAATTTTAAGTTGTTTAAACGGAGTACCGAGGTATTAGCAGATATGATAATTTATTCTACGCATGTAGGTGGTATTCGGGCCAGATTATCAAAAACAAACGTTTCAATCGAGTATCGAGTGCGTGATCTGACCCGGTCGTAATGCAATGGAGTGGCAACGAATCATCCTAAGAGGTCCATTCTATAACGACGGAGGAATGGAGACCAACTTAGAATCTTACTTCAATCCGAAGAAGTATTATCTCCGTCTGCTGCGCCGCCAATATTTCCTCATGTAATCAAATCATATTGTAGTTCTACCTAACAGATTCCAATAAAAGATAGAACAGCAATTCTCACTTTCAAATTCCAAAAAAAAAGGTACCAAGAAACAATGCTATAGCGATTGTGTCGACCTAGAATCTAATTTACCGAGGTCGAGTCTTGCTCCAGAGCACTTTAGTTCCAGAGGCAGACATGCCAGGAGAATCTGAGCCAGAAGTAGGCTACTTGCAGCCTAGATCATCATATGGACTAAGACACTAGTAAGTAAAGCTTGTTTCCTTAGGTTATCTTCGGTGTGGAGTCTAATTCGATGCGAACCGCTAACAGTTTGACCCCTCTGCAGTCTTTGGATAATCTCTGCTGTAATTTCAATATATTCAAGCAAACATCTTCTGGTTCATCATTCATATCGCAAGTCAAGCCCTCCACCGTTCAATTATGTAAGCTAACTCTATCTAGATTACCGTACGCTCCATCCGATCTAATTCATTTGATTCCTGAATAACGAAATCACAGCTCTTACGATTACCTTTCGATTCTTTGTCCTATTGCTGGGTGCGGGTATCCTATCATTATACGTAGAACTCAAACCGCCCGGCCTCTATCATAACAACTTGAAGCGATTAACTCTCAGGAACCATTTATGGCGAGAGACAGCATGGTTCGAAGGATGGACGAGCATGGCTCCCGCCTCGATTGCCGCTGCAATTGCAATACCTCTACTTATGCAATCCATCTTACATATGCCGAGCTTGCCTGTCTTAGTAATGCTATTTGTGAGTTTAACTCTTCCCCCAGTTGAGGTTGAGAATTAACATTCTGCTGGTTAGCCTTTGGCGTGGACCACAGATAGGATAGTTATATTTATATCTGGCTCTACAGCGGGACCTACAAGAGGAAATGCTCTCTGCGAAACGGGAGTAGTCGTTGTTGCATCAACCATCATTCTTTGGGAAGAATATCGACTCACAGTACCTGGTATAATCTTTGGAGTAACCGGAATACTTTCTTGTGGGATTTCTAAAGCCTTGCTTTCCCTAGCTTGCAGACGGATCGAACTCAATAAGGCCCCTCCAGTCCTAGTGAGCGCTCACCATGGATTTATTATTCTGACCGCCGTGTTTGGTCTTGTCGTCACCGGATTCTCCAGTTATGCCTTCGAAGATTTTACTCACTCGAGTCCAATTCTGAGCCATACCTCTGTATTGCTTTTCATCAATTTTGGTTCTACTGCTGCAGCCATACTATCAGGAAATTCGTTGCTTGCATATTCCCCAACGCTTTTTGTACGAACACCTCCAGAATACAATGATGACATATCACTTGTCTCTAATATTGTTGCATCAAGCGCTTCATCTACCTTGATCTTTTGGCTTTCGATGCTATCTAACCCGATATCTTATGTCTCGCCGGTGCAGCACATAGTATACTACACTACAGTAATTGCTTTACTTGCCTTATCGGGAAAGTCCACCAACACCAGTTCACATTATCACAGTCTCAGAGAAAGTGAAAGAATGATCCCCGGTCCAACGTTTCGCGCAAACTCTCCTGCTGAAGTCTCGCGATTCATAAGTAAAACAGCAGTATTGAGGAATGTTTTCTTGGGTTTGACCCTGCCCATAATTTGGTTACTTGTATCAGCGATTATAACGAGCAATAATGCAGTACCTGCCGATAGCCCCGCACAATTAGATAAAAACTACGTTCCCGAGTCTCGTTTTGATATAGTTGTTAGCATGTATGATGAAGATCCAGTATCTGTCAAGACCATGCTTGCATCGATCAAGTCCACGACTTTCCTCGAAACAATTCACCCAAGAGTCATTATTTACACCAAGAAGCCGTCATCCGATCTTACTGCGCTACGAAATTCTACAGGTGCAGATACTGTCCAGCAGCTCGAGAATCGCGGACGAGAAGGTGGCACTTACCTACATCATATTGTCACAAATTGGGATAATTTGGCTCAACAAACAATGTTTATTCAAGCACATGCTCATAATATGCGCGAGCTGATACCTCGTATTGATAATTACCTCGTTGAGAAGACGGGGATGCTTAACTTAGGGTTCGCCGGTGTGCTATGTAATAGCAAAGATTGCAGTGATCGATGGGGTTGGGAAGATCAATGGGGAATGGTGCCATCTTTATATAAGAGACTGCATCATAATGAGACGTGTGAGGAGCCTGTCTTGCTGTCTTACAAAGGACAGTTTATAGCTTCCGCAAATCGTATTAGAGGAATTCCACTTGGCATCTATGAGGAATTGCTTAGTGCGATAACATCAACGACTGGTTGGAGCCACAATGAGACTATAATTGGTAATAACTTGGACAGGCCGGATGCACCATATTTCGGGTATACAGTTGAGAGACTTTGGAATTTGCTTTTGCAATGCTCGAACTTGCGAATCGCAACTATGTGTCCAAGTTTACTAAGTCAACGGAGAAGATTCGGTAGGATCGATGATTGTCAATGTTTAGATTAAAAAATAATATATTCGTAGTCTCAGAACAGCTCGAGCTTTAAGGTTTTCCACATCTGGCTCCAAGAATGTCTATTTTGGTCTTGGTGGTTCATTCTCTGTAAAATTTCAGTAATGTATCATCGTTAAAGACTAATTGCTCAATCTTGAAAAGCCTACCAAAGAACTAGACTGCGGATTTATCGCCGGTATCACTTCATTGAAGGTAGAGGACAAATTGAGTTGGATAACCAAATGATACAATGGGTTCTAAGTTGAAAGAGACGTGATACATTGTGCCAAGCATTAAATGATCGCAGTGAGGATTAACGAATAAAACACTGAAATTGCTACCTTCAGTAGCCTATGAAGATATTACATATCGAATCCATTTACTATACAATCAAAGTTTTATAATTGAAGGTTTCTTGAGATCGGACTGCATACCAAGCTGGTTTTCCCTAAAGAAAAGCCAGTTCAAACTCGGCCAGGTTGTGTAACTTTCACGCATCTCTGAGTGGTTTTTGCGCTGCTGCTTCTATCTTCATCTGGCTTTCGAGCTGCACACCTTGTGTTGACCCCTCTTCTCCCCTTTCGCCAGCCTCAGCCCTCACAGCCTTCACAGCAGTATCCATCCCCTTTCTTTCCAAAATCAACTCCATTTCCGCGTCCATCTCCCAGTATCTAGGATTGTCAAGACCATCAAAATGGATCGGATGGCATACAAACCCCAGTGACCAGCCATCTACCCTTGGATTAGGCTTAGAAAAATTCTCGAACAGCGATTTGTAAAGCGGGTAGCTGTGCTCCGTAGGCAAGGAGCGACGAAGGTCAAGACAGCCTGGCTTGGCATATATTAACGTCCATAATTTCGGTAGTTCTGGTGGACATGTAGATGGAGTGACGATGCGGACAAAGGAGGAGAATATGTGGGTTTTTGAGGTGGATGATAGACAGGTTGAGAGTGGGATTTGGAAGATTTGTGGATGGTATGTTTGAGTCAGTGCAAGAGTTGCGTTTTGTGGAATGGCAGATATTTGATGTGCTGCGGGGAGTTTAACTTTTGTGAGAAGTGATTCTATGGCGGCTGTTTCTTCTTCTGCATCCCGAATTTCCAATTCTTGCAGTCTCTCTATCGCTGGTTCTCTATCTTCTGCTCCGTACCCATAGTCGGAGCATGTAAAAAAAAATTGACCACTCCTCCACGACCTTATCAAAAAGCGTAGCATTCCATCCAAAACTATCAGAGAGAACATATTTACCACGACATTCACGTTGATTGAAAAGGTGCATGTATGGCTTTTGGCGTACAGGACATTTGAGTGGACGCATGAGACGGGTAACATTAGCATATTCCGGAGAAGAGGACCAAAGACAGACCCCTTCGGGAAGCTTGTTTACTTGCGGACCAAGAATGCCTGCCGATGGAGGGTCAAAAGCGAGACCCACTTCATTATCATTGATAATAGGATATACGATAGTTCGAATGCGGCGAGCGTCCAGAGTTTGGACACCACTTGTCTCTGCGAGGATATGTAGCATATCTCTTTTGATGCGAGCACATTTGTACATAATGGACCATGTCTCAATCTATCTTATGGGCTCAGTGGGTATCCACATGCCCCCATTAAGCATTTGATTCGCTCCTTCCAATGTATGCCGAGGTTGACCGACACAATAGGCTGTGTCGAAGAGCAGGGTGTAAAGTTTCTGGCCATCAGGACAAATGGGGTTCTCTCTGACGCTAAGATCTATATTCTCAGTGATACTAAGACAGGTAGAGACAGGGAGCGTGATATTGTAAGAAGAGGGCAAGGACTGCACTAGAAGAACGGCGTATGGAGGTTCCTCATGTTTGGTGTAAATCGATACTTGATTGTTTGTGCCACTGTCAGTATTTATCGCGATTAGTTTTCTGTGGGTGTCATTGGAGACGCGAGTGGCATTAGCAGCCTCATGAGTAGGTAATGGCTGAACTAGATTTGGTAAGGCACAACTAGAGACAGCAAGGGAGGTGAGAGTAAAAGCTATGGCTTTAAGTGATTGACGCTGCATGTTGAAACAATAGAAATGTATCAAGAATGAGAAACAAGAATGACAATAACACACGGAGGCAGACCAAAATGGCACAGGATGCCGAAGGTAACCTTACCAGTCCCAATTCGAACTAGGTGCTTTTGATATTGGTGATTGAGAGACTTCCTCGTCTCGGTCAGTTTTGTGCTTGTTTTTTGAAAAGATTGAATACCGAATTTCGTACATTCAATCATTACGTACCTTAAGGTAGCGAAGAAAAGATAATGTGGGGAGGCGTAGAGCAGAGCAGAAGATTTAGAACTCAATTCTTGCGAGTTTAGGTCGTATTTGATACTCTGATCAAATCAAATTGATGTCTTTTGGGTGGTGGTAGGTATGAAGTCTGCATTGCTTCTCGTAGCAATTGTTGCAACAGTCTAAAAACCAGAGAAGATTCTTTCGGATGCGGTTGATAATGAAATTTGACGTGAAAGTAAATACATATTATATACTGACGGATTTTGCGTCTACTTACACGCCAATTAAATATAGAAGGTGAAAACTCGCATTATACAGTGTTGTAGAGATCATTCAAATGGCCGTTGTTGGTGGGGACATATTAACAAACCAACAGTTAGTGCTGATTCTCTTATAAGTCTTGGGCTTTCGACGGATTTGATTTCGTTATTTTCATGCCCACGGTCCAACTATCTAAACAACGCCAGCATAAATTAAAAAATGGCGAAATTTTCAATACCCTGTTCCTGTTGAGTATTGTTCTTCCAACAATTTACTGGATGTGGACAAAGATACGGGCTTGGTCTACTAGAAATAAAGCCGGATGCTCTTCTCCGGTCAAGTACAAACACCTTGATCCAATCTTAGGATTCGACCTCCTCGCGAAGAAGATAAAATACACGAAAGCTGGGAATCTGCTGGCGCTAGACGATGAATTGTTCGCCAAATATGGAAAAACATTGCATACATTACTTTTTGGTAGAAATCACTGGATGACTATGGATCCCTTGATGATACAAACTGTCGCCGCCACTCAAGCCGATAAGTTCGGAAGCGCGCCTTCAAATCGTAAGCCAGATGGGCTGTTACTAGGTGATGGCGCCTTTACCACCGATGGGCATATATGGAAGAGGTCTCGAGAACTTCTCCAACCCGTCTTCAGTCGGTCACAAGTTTCTCAATTATCAGGGTTGGAATCTCACCTGCAACGCTTCCTCGAACGTATTCCTCGTGATGGTTCTACGATCGACATCCAACCTCTCGCCCAGGGGCTTTTCTTAGATAGTTCCATGGAGTTTATCTTCGGCAAATCGTCTGGTTCCCTCTCACCTTCCGAACAGTGTGTATATCTCTTTTAGTCAACTAATCTCGTTGAAAACATGCTTACAGAGTACGTAGAACTGCCGAAGCCAAACAGTTCTCAGAGGACTTTGACGAGGGCCTCAGAGGAATGCGAAACAACTACACGACAGACAAATTTTGACGCCTTGTTGGTCCTGACAAGAAATGGCTTGCTCGATACGCCAAGATCCATGCTACCTTGGATAGTTATATCGACGAAGAGATCAAATTCCAAAAGCAGTCAAAATTGCCAGGTGCATCATCCAAGCTTACCCATGGCTCATCGGGTTACCAACATGTTCTTCTCAAAAAGCTTGTTACAAAGTACCCAGACGACAAGACTCTCATTCGAAATGAACTCATGAATGCATTTTTTGCAGCTAGAGATTCAGTAGGAACGGTCACCTCTAGCATGCTATCTCTCCTCGCTAGAAGTCCTGAAAGTTGGGGAAAGTTGACAGAAAAAGTTGCCGCTATCGCACCTGAGCAAGAATTGACTTTTGAGTTTCTCAAATCGTTGAAATATGTGCAAGCTGTGATTGACGAAAGTATGTTGATGTGGTATTCCAAAACACATATTGAGATATCAACTAACACATGCATAGCGCTTCGACTAATTTATCCTGTCGATCGAGCTTGGAGGACATGTTAATCCACTTGTATCCTACCACGTGGTGGTGGGAAGTCGGGGAACGACCCTATTTTACTACAACCAGGCGACCAAATCGAGCTGATGTATGGTTGTATGCATAAAGACAAAGATATCTAGGGTGATGATGCATCCGAATTCAACCCGGACAGGATGGTTCGACTTAAACACAGTTGGAAATTCATTACATTTTCTGGAGGGCGTCGCACATGCCCGGCCCAGCAAAACGCATACACTGATATGGCGTACTTCTTGGCCAGGATGGTACAAGAGTTCAAGACCATCCATAATCGGGATGATTGCATAGAGTATGTGGAGGAGTATGTGATGACCAAATCCAGTCGAAATGGAGTCAAAGTTGCATTCTCAGTCAAGTAAGAGTCCTTGGTCATCGGTAACCTATAACAACCTGTAATCACCTGGCTGTATATACATTATGATAGGTATGCTTGAGATGGTATTCAATCAAGCACAACTTGGAAACCATATACCAGAAACGTTGTTGACGCTGCCTTGATCACTGCCTAGGTGCAATGTGACTGTTTGCAATCGTTTGTTGGTGCGACTACTGAATTGTGCTTACTAAGCTGAATTGACACTGTCGTAGCCTCAATTTTAGAAATTCCGGGTTCCTGATACGATAGAGAAACGCGTTGCTTTGAGCACCGACCTTCCGTGATCCGTCACGTGTCCGTGTATCAATCACCACCAGCATGGGCGTGGGATCACCAGAGGGGCCGAGGAAAGCCAAAAATATAAAAATAATACTTGGTAGGTAGAAACTAGGTAATAAATTCCATATCTGGCTGAATCCATCAGGGACCCCCCACAATTTGAATTGAACCCCTAATCAGGATTAGAATTCATGTTATGAATTGTTGATATATTCTCAGTCTTTCTTCACTTTCTTGTATAAATTCCAACTTCTATACACTCACTCACATAGCCTCCTCGCCTTTTCTATACCTCGTTCTTTGCCGCTACAGAGCTCTCGATTCCATGATATGATTGAGCAATGAGTATTTTCTCATATGTGCGGAGCATTTATGCTCTAGATACCATCGATACACGCTTCACGAATTCTTCTTCAACTCCATATGAAATTGATCCTGCTGCAGCAAAGTCAAAACGAGATGACTCGAAACCAGGCGAAGGGGTACGAACAGACAGTAATGGCAGACCAATTGCTCAGCCGTCGAGATGGAACACCACAGAGTTTTATTTTTATTACTTCGTCTTCTTAACGGTCGTGCCATACATGTTTTGGATCGCCTACGATGTGTCTAGACGTTAGTATATGACTTGCTTCTCTAGCAAAGATAAATCTGACTGTTGTCCAGCTTCCGATCCTAATTACCACAAATACCAACACCTTCTTTCTGATGGATGGATTCCTGGGCGCAAGATTGTATGGGTTATTTGAAAGAGATGACTATGGCAAATGCTAATTCAATGTAGGATATTTCGGATGCACAATATTATAACTTTCGAACCAATGTACCATATCTCGCAATTCTCGTCGTTTTTCATCCTCTCCTTCGACGAATATATGAATTTCTCAGACCCATCTCTGCTCGAGTAGGATCGCCGAAACTAAACGGCAATAACACATACATATCTGTGGCGGAAGGCAATGCGAGACTTCAACAACGTACCGGGTTCGACTTCATTTTTGCTTTCATATACCTCCTCGCTTTGCATGGATTTTCCGCTTTTAAAGTCATTGCGATAGTCTATACAAACTACTGTCTGGCCACTCGACTTCCTCGAAAGTTTGTGCCTGTAGCAACATGGATTTTCAATATCGGTATATTGTTTGCCAACGAGCTCTCAGATGGGTACAGATATACATCAATAGCACAATATTTATCTCCCAAGAATGAAGCCGGTTTCCAAGAAGGGGCTATGTTGCATAGCTGGGCAGAGTGGATGGATAGTTATTCGGGCATCATTCCACGATGGGAGATTCTGTTTAATCTTACTGTCTTGAGATTGATCAGTTTCAATCTGGATTATTACTGGAGTTTAGAGAAAGGAGCTGGAAGTGCATTAGAGGTAGGTCATCATCAAAGTGCCGTCCGTATGCTCTCATCTAATACTAATGCGCAAAAGAAGAAGCAACTTAACCCTGCCAATCTTTCCGAGAGAGATCGTGTTTCGATGCCTGCGCCGGACAAAGACTACAATTATCGAAACTACTTCGCATATGCGATTTATGCCCCTTTGTATTTAGCAGGACCAATCTTTACATTTAACGATTACATTTCTCAGTCGAAATATCGCCCTGCTAGCATAGACAGTAAACGAACCTTTAAGTATGGTATTCGTTTCCTACTTTGTCTGTTGGCAATCGAACTTCTCCTACATTTCGATTATTGTGTGGCTATTTCCAAAGGCAATCCCAACTGGTCTGATTACACCCCAGCTCAACTGAGTTTACTCTCATATTTCAATCTTCATGTACTATGGTTGAAGCTTCTCTTACCTTGGAGATTCTTCAGACTTTGGTCTCTCATCGATGGAATTGACCCTCCGGAAAATATGCTTCGCTGTCTTTCCGATAACCCATCTACTGTTCAATTCTGGCGAAGCTGGCATCGCAGCTACAACCGCTGGATCATCCGCTACATCTACATCCCTATGGGAGGTTCTTCATCGCAAAATTGGAAAGCCCAAGTCCGATCAATTGTCAACTATCTCGTTGTTTTCACATTTGTCGCCTTATGGCATGATATAAGTCTTAACCTCTTGGTGTGGGGCTGGCTCATAGTTTTCTTCATGTTACCGGAAGTTATTGCTGGCATGCTCTTCCCAAGAAAGAAGTGGCTCAATGATCTTACATATTACAGAGTCATTTGCGGTATTGGTGCAGTGGCGAATTTAATGTTCATGATGATAGCAAACTTGGTTGGGTTTGCTGTCGGTGTTGATGGGTTGAAGAGCATTATTTCTGGCATCTTCAAGGACTTTTCAGGTACGCTTTACTCAAATATTGGCAAGGGGCATTCAACTAATCCAAACAATAGGAATCGTTTTTCTGATTACGGCCTGGGGTGCACTTTTCGTTGGGTGTCAGGTTATGTTTGAAGTAAGGGAGAGTGAGCACAGAAAAGGAATTTTCCTAAGATGTTAGAAATACCATTGAGGCCAATATTAAGAATTGCAAATTTTTTTCTTCGTATTTGAGCTTCTTTGATGTCCTTAAGCTGTTGATTCTTTGATTCACTGAGATGTGACTCGCGTAGTTCGAAACTATTCCCTTTGAAATTCAATATCTACCAGACGGTGAATGGTCTTATTTCCCCCAGAAACATCACAGCTTCTCTGGTCAGCATTAAAATTCTGACTCCTCTTCTGCATCTCGTTCAATCGCCAGTAGTCACTGGCACTTCCGATAATTGATATAGTTTTCCCACACATAGTCCGACAGGAGAAAATTCCCGGGTAAATCCATTAACTCCATGGAGTTACGATGCCACAAGAAATTTAACATACTCACCAAATGATATATCCGTGGACATGAGTTGGGTGTCTAGACGTATCTATTATCATTTAAATTTGCAACACCCCTTTGATATTGAATACTCATCGAGTACTCATCTTAGTATTTTGACTATACTTCGCGTCACACAAATTATCCTATTATACAACTCCCCACATCATACCACCACATCAAGATGTCCACCGCCATTCCCGAAACCATGCGTGCCGTCATGCTCCGCAACCCCGGTCCTCCCTCCTCTCTCAAAATCGAAACAATTCCCATTCCCACCGCCCAACCTGGCCAAGTATTGATAAAAGTTCGCGCGTTCGGTCTTAACCGCTCAGAAGTTTTTACAAGACAGGGTCACTCCCCTATCCGCGACGTTCCTCTCCCTAGAGTTCTGGGTATCGAGTGTGTTGGCACTGTTGCTGCTGTTGTGGAGGAGGATGGTGCAGGGAAAGATGGGTTGAAGGTTGGAGATAAAGTAGCTACGTGTATGGGTGGAATGGGCCGTGCTTTTGATGGTGGATATGCGGAGTTTTGTGTTGTACCTAGGGGACAAGTCGTGAGGATTGGAGTTGAAGCAGGGTTGGAGGAGTTGGGTTGGGATATTTGGGGTGCATTGCCAGAGATGATTCAGACTTCTGTGAGTAGTCTCTTTTTATGTGATCTACTTTTTGTCTTTCCTTATTTATACACTCATACGTCTATGGTATCTATTAATGATACTAACCACACCCCAACAGTGGGGCTCCCTCTTCTCTTCCCTCAAACTCAAGGAAGGCGACTCTCTCCTCATCCGTGGCGGAACTTCCTCGATCGGTCTCGCAGCCGCAGCACTAGCATCTCACCACGGCGCAATCGTTACATCCACCACTCGACAACCATCTCGCACCCAACTTCTTCTCGATACAGGTGCTCATCACGTTATCATCGATCCACCATCTGGTCTCATATCTCCCACCACTAATATCCGTTTCGACAAGATACTCGAACTAGTCGGTCCTACCACCCTGGATGATTCTTTCAAGCTGTTGAAAGCTGGGGGTATAATATGTCAAGCGGGTATTTGTGGCGGCAAATGGATCATGGAAAATTGGAATTCTTTTGCGGTAGGGGCGGGATATTTCACGGCGTATGCGAGTAGTGTAGATAGATTTTTGGAAACGCCTTTGGACAGGGTGGCGGGATTGGTTAGGGAAGGGAAAGTTAAAATCCCGATTAGAGTTTTTGAGGGATTGGGAGAGATTGAGGAGGCGCATAGGGTTATGGAGACGGAGGGGGCGGCGGGAAAGATTGTAGTTATTGTTTAGGGATTAGGACAAACATAATTGGTAAATATATTGATAGATTGAAGAAATCATGACACATACGACCATAGACTGAAGAGAATTGGGCATCCCGTCCGCTCTGCCATACACAAGCTTCAGATCGGTGGATTAGTAGTTGGGTGGGTGACCACCAGCGAATCCCCACTGTTGTATGTTTTTTCATTTTTGGGTCGTCGAAAGGTCCTTGGCTGTGATCCTGTTTCGTGGCATGGAAACATGAGATGAATGAATTAGTTGACCTCCCCCCCTGTTTCCCCTTTTCGTAAACTTTCTTTCCATTGCGCCATTCGTTTTTTGGATTATTTCCATTTTCATTCATACTGCATCCACCACCCATCACCCATCTTTCGTCTCAAAACTCACTGTCTCCAATCTTTATTCATTGCAGTCGACCATGTTCTGGAGAAGTCAGGTTAGCTTCGTTTCGAATGGAGGTCGAGCATGTATGATGATTGAGTATCACTGACTGATATGATTTGATCCATTCTCTTGACCGCTTCTGGTCACTTCTGCCTATCTTTCTTCAAAATAGGACATTGAAATATATCCTATTCATGTCTCCAACAAGCGTTTGGTGTGCCATTCCTTCCAAATTGTCTTCAGTTGTTCCCTCTCTTTCGCTTTTTAAAGTCATGTGGCATTTTCTCCGTTCATGATTGACATAAACTCACACGTGACCCCTACGTCACTATTCAATCCCTTCGCCCTAGCTTTGGGGGGGGCGACGAATTAAGGAGCTCTTTTGCCAAGATTCGAAATGTTTATTTTGACTTTTATGATGACTGCTTTGTTTTATTTTTGTTTTCCATGTTCTGATAAAGCTTGAGATTTGGCCATTGTTATATGACCAGGTCGCCATACTTCACAATTCATGTCAATCAATCTTGTCATAACATCCACAGAACAGTCACAGAAATTGTGAAGTTGCACCTCAAGATGTGGGATCAATTGGAACCAACTGCTCCCCATATAACATATTTTGTCCTTCCACTTTTTCTCATCACTTATGCCCTCTTCTCAAATTTCATCCGCAATCATCTTCATCTCTCAGAGCCTCCTCTCGCCATTCTCTTTGGTATCATCCTTGGACCATATGTTCTCAAGGTACTTACCCCAGAAGAATGGGGCTTTGACGATGAAATCATGCAGGAAATCACTCGTGTGATCGTAGGCATTCAATGTTTTGCTGTAGGGTTAGAACTTCCCAAACATTATTTCAAAAGACATTGGAAATCTGTTCTCTATCTCCTAGGTCCAGTCATGTCATTTTCCTGGGCCATCACTTCATTATTCGCCTACTTCATTTTTCAGACCACTGTACCCACAGCTCTGATAATAGGAGCTTGCCTCTCACCAACTGATCCTATTCTCGCTGCATCCGTCCTTTCCAAATCTCAATTCAGCGAAAGAGTTCCTCCACGTATTCGTCATCTTCTTTCAGCCGAGTCGGCATGCAATGATGGAGTCTCTTTTCCATTCCTGTATATCGGTCTTGTGATCTTCACTACCCATGGAGGTCCTGGAGAAGCTATCAAGGAATGGGTAACAATCACACTACTCTGGCAATGTCTACTCGGCATCGTAGCAGGTCTCATACTTGGAAATATAGCCAATCGACTTCTTCGATTCTCAGATACTCGGGAATACATATCTAGACCTTGTTTTGTGGTATTTTACCTTCTCCTTGCCATGCTTTCCATCGGTATCGGATCTATCCTGGGTTCAGATGATTTCCTAGTCGCTTTTGGTGCTGGAGTCGGTTTCGCCCACGATGGATGGTTCTCCAAAAAGACCAAGACCGTGGCTTTTCCGGTCATCGTAGATCATCTACTGAATTCTACTATGTTCGCATACTTTGGCTCCATTATTCCGTGGAATCAATTCCAACCAACAACCATTACACCCCATATCAAACCTTGGACTCTCATCCTCTTCCTCATTCTTGTTCTTCTCTTCCGCAGGATTCCAATCCTTCTCTTGACCAAATCTTTCATTCCTGATATATGTACTTATCGCGAAGCGCTCTTTGCAGGACACTTTGGTCCTATGGGCGTAGGCGCTTTATTCCTTGCCATAGAAGCAAGAGCACAACTCGAAACTGGTACATCACTACCTCTTCCTAAGCCAATATTTCCCAACGAGCCAGGCCCCGTCAGCGAGGAAACAAAGGCAATTTGGATTATATGGCCGGTAATATGTTTCGTGGTGTTCGGAAGTACAATGGTACATGGATTGAGCGTGATGGGTATTAGTTTAGGAGGTCACTTTCTCAGAAAAGAGGGAGAAAGAGCACCGTTATTGGGGGAGACGCGAGGTTTGAGCGGGATGGTTCATGAAGGCGGGGGAGGTGAGAGTGAACCGGAAGTTAGTGGGAGTGAAGCTGAATAGTGCAACTGAGTTTTGAGAAAGTCCTTTTGAGGGCATCTGCTGCTTGATGTATTTTTCTGATGTACAACGCATACTTTTTGATGTGCATTCTAAGAACAAATCAGCTGCTCTAAGGTATCGCAATTAAATCAAGCATGGAATTCAATACATTTATTCACGTCCTGTAATTTGTGTTTCTTTCTTTCTCTTTTGACTTTTCGTTACGTTCATATACCAGTTATCAGCTCTTCCAGTGTTTTCAATCACACCATCACACCTTACCATACTCTCGATATCCCGTATTCTAACGGCACGTCTTTCCAAATTCCTCCAACGCAAGTCAAGATCCAAATCCAAATGCCTACTCTCTCCATACACCCGGCATAGTAAATAGAAGCCGTACTGTAACGCAAGGCCATCATGCTACCCTGCACATAATGAGAGCATTGACTATGTAAGCGGACGGTTGGAGGAATGAACGATATCCATTTTACTGCGATAAACTCAGAATATATGACAGACGCATTAGTTTGGAAGCGGGTCCATCCACGTAGAGTCGTAAGTGTTATTCAAACATACATTTATCTGTTTTTGCTTTATTCTCGTCGGAGAAGGTTAGTTATTAAGTTATTTATGTTATATTTCATCTCTCCTGTTCTTTTACATCACTCTTCTTCTTTCTTACATCTAGAGCTGATATACTACATGCATTAGAGATAAATCGTTGTTTCTTTCAGAATCTTAGTTTGTCGCGGTCCAGTTGAATTAGTACATGATATTGCATATGTAATGCTTATAGACAGGAGCACACATCGTATCGTGGTACAGCCATGGAAGATTGATAATAGCATACCTAGCATCCTGGAAATCTTCTAGAAATCGGATAGATGCTAGTCTTTCTCGTGCCTGTGGGTGTGGATGCGGATTGTTGTGATACTGCTGCTGATGATGATTTTGTGCGACTTGGTTCGCTTGTTTAGGGGATTTCATTGTTATGTAGGTAAGTAGCTTTGTATAGGGATTTGTGGTCACACAAGCTTGGGATGACGATGAGGAGAAATTTTCAGGTCGAGTTTATGGCTTGGGAGGTTAGTTGTTTGGGAAGAAATATCTTGGAGATTTTGTATGTGTGAGAGGATGAGATGAGATTTATGGGTTATGGGACGGGAATTTGTCCATTTTGGAGGTGGATAAGGATATGTGTGTACGGTACCTAAGATATGTAATGAATAGAACCATTAGGTGTGTAATCAACAGCTTCTGAGATCGTTCGCGATTCGAGAGAAATTACAATTGAAATTCTCATCTGATCAGCCATTGGAATAAATGTAAATTCTCGGTGACTATTCTCTTCGGCACCCAATTCCTTTCGTTTCGTGTCGATTGGCTAGAGGATTGGAGAGGGATGTCATACATACAAAATTTCAATCAAGATATCGAAAGATTTTTCTACCAAATTTTTTTCGGTTCCCTCCCGATTCTTTTCTATGGGCAGTAGTCACTACGGTAAGCCACTGTAAGCTCATTCAAGCAAATTGCGTAGATTCAGCTTCTAGCCCAGAGAGATTACGCTCAAGTCATGCTGCAGACTGTTGTAGAAGGAGAGGCACATGCGTTGAATTTTCGTAAAATGGTCTCACTATCCTGTAGAGATGTACGTGAAAATTGAAGGGGAGCGTTTGATAAGCGTGTCATAGACAGGCAAGCAGAGAACGAATATGATAACTGACCATGTAATTAAAGACGAATGAAAAAGATGGTAATGCAACGAGTGCTAACCATGAAAGAAGTAGTATATCACGACTATAGCAAACACCAAATAGATCGTGGATTGTCATCGGGGCTAGATGTTGCCATATCCATATTCTTGTCATGCGGCACTACTAACTTATGATCCGAATATCATCACGCGTTGGACAAAAGCTCATTCAAGCTCCTATCAGTACCGCTGATTCGTCCCTAGAGTTTCGATACCATTGCAAGCTTTCTGTATGTCTCAAGCCCCCAAAATTACTGTCAAGTGCCTATCTCTCGGCACCACGAACATTCCGTGAAGTTAGCCAAATGTCAGTACTGGTCAGCCCCTATTAGAAAACGTTTACATTCAGTTGGAACATTGTTATGTATTCAACTTCATATTAGCGCCTGTTCGGATCTGTCTCCGTCCGTATTTCAAATAGTGATCATCACCAGTTCACCGTTGTAAGGAGTGAGAGGTCGGGGAAGAATCGCTCTTCTAGCCGTGAAGTATTTTTGCACTACATGACCATTCCCCCACTATATCCTTTAATTATACGAGATAAGATGTGTATATTATATCGTTTGTCGTGGTATAGTGCCCATTGAATTGCTGCCATACAATAGTGAATGACAACCATTTTACTACAAGGGAAAAGTTCGAATAATTGTACATCCACAGTTGGTCAATTGTCTTAACGGCCTTAGTTGCTTGGGTTTTTGAGCCTGGAGAGTGGTTCCTCACATCAGGGGTTAGGGTTACGCTTGGGTATACTTTCGGTACAATGTTTATGTGGCAACCGAGGACCCGAGATGAATTTATGCTTGCTCCATACTTGCATAGAGTTGTTACACGACACTCCATTTAAAATTTAAGCTTCGTTAAGCTAAGTGTAATCTCGGGTTAGAAATTACCGTTTAGGAAATTCTGGGAGCGCGGTAGGGCAATATAATTTCGTTGGTGCTAAAGGGGGAAGAAGAGTTGCCGCTAGACACTATTGCGAGACTATGGCTTTTTCAAACTCTGTGAGAAGACATCTGATTGCAATCAACCGTTTGAAATTTCGTCGAATATAACCATCCGATCTAGTAATTTACCTAGACTCGATGAGAGACAAGGTCAAACACCTGGGTGCGTCTTCCCTAGTCAAGTTAACATTACATTACAATGTGTGGAATTGACCTACCATACTACAAAACGCATACGTATTGTCTCAAAAACCATCAATTTTCCTCCTAATCAACGCTACCGCGCACTTGATCCTACTACCGAGACGAATTTCTTCACTCAACTCCACCCCCTTCATGCTAACTTATCGCCTGCTGCCCGAAGCCCCATTTAACATAAATTGAGCAACAGGAATCCACACAAACTTACAACTCTAGGCTAATTGATGAGCCATGTCAGGCGCGCCACTCAGCATCATTAATTCAATCATCAATCCATGAGCTTCTGCCGTCCGCTCTGCCTTGTTTTGTGCACCCCTGTTGAACCAACCGTTGTAATCTGTCAACGCCGCAGCGTGGATATCAAGCATGCGAAAGAGCATAAGCACAATCCATGATTTTTCTCAGCCCACTTTCTCCGCCGCTTATTGTTGAATGTGTTGGAAGCGGCAGTGAGTGTTCCTAGGCTAGGGGTAGTAAGGATGGAAGATGGTGAGAACTTTGGTGGCTGGATTTCTTGGCTCCAATGGCTTTCTTCATGAAGCTTGAGGAAGTTTGTTTTTAACGACTCCTTCAAGTTGGTGACGAGAATTTGGGTGTTGCAATGAATGGGTATCTTCAGAAGATGTTGTATATCTGTCATGCGGAGGATATGAAATTGAAAAGGATGAGCTCACCGACGAGATGATCGTAGGAAGGAATGACAGAATAGGAAAAAGTTGTACCGCAGCACACGTTACACACCCCAGATTTGTATTTTACTTTTGATTGGTTGCGATTTAGGAGCTCAAGGCTAGAAGGTGCAAGTGGAAATCTGAATAGGATAAAAACAAGTCGATCACATCATGCAAAATGAGCATTCATCGATCCGATAGTATCGTTCACTTGATGAACAGGCATTCATTTTCCAGGGTACATGCACACAATATAATCCGATAAACGAGGCCGTATGATATGTTCGAGGAAGAGAAAGACCGAAATCACTGAAATTCAAAAGTGCATCGCAGGGCCAAGCAGTCATACGAAACCGACGAGATCAGTCTCCGCGTATCAACTAACTAACCACAAAAAGTTATATACAGGGCTGTAGATATCACAAATTCCAAATACTCCGAGATTTTGTTTTAAGATCGTTCTGGCACAATCTGCGCCGCTAGAATAAGAAGTTAGTTGGTTTATTTCTGGAATAGTAAGAAGATACGAATATTCAGTACTTCCGGGAATTCCTAGGAGGTTTCTATTATGCACTCTCACTGTTACACCGTCAATCAATTAACCATCACAGACCGTAATTTCAAAGAGGCACAGAAAGGTCAGAACCATATTGCCAATACGACTCTAAACCCAGCAGACCATGTGTACTTGGCCCACCGCAACCGAAAGAGTTTTTGCGTTCAACCATCCTTTCGAAGGCCCCCGGGTCTCAGAAAACGTGCTACCTATTCTAAACCCCAAAGATAAGCTATGTTGACAGCGAAAAAAGTTGGCTGTCAAGTCCTGGAATTCGAGTCAAAACGTGTTTACGGCTCAGTAGTTTATCAACCCCCTGACGGTATAACTCGGGTATGACTCGCATTGGTCAAGGAAACAGTTGGTTCACAGCCTTACAAGGAAGGTCCACGATATTTAATTCGTGTGCATGCATAGATACCCTTGTCCGCATGATAGAGAGGTCACTTGATTTGTGGGTTTGCTGAGTATGCCAAATTCTAACGTTCATGGTGGAGAGTATTTTGTCGATATGCCTTGTTTGTTGCAAGTGAAAACATTAGAATGGTGTCAACCTTGGACTTTGCCGCGCCGCTCACACACCACAAACTGGTAGAAAGTTGGAAAACTCGATCTGGGAAAGTTTGACGGGTAGATATATATCGCCAGTGAAGGACTACGCTGCTTCTTCAAGACTATTCTATTAATTTGTACAATGAATATATATGGATTTCTCTAGGAATATAGATTCTCCATGACAATGAAGTCAGATGTTTGCCGCCCTGAGACATGTCTCTATTGATGGCCTGCCTGTAAACCCAGTTTTACTTTCCGTCTACACAAGATTTCGTGCAGTCCAATGGTTCCGTAGAACGATTTTTCATTGTACCAAAACTTCGCAGCAACGAGAATTCTATATACTGTAGAAAAATTTAAAAAAGATTACCAATATCTATCGCCCCAGAATCCTGTACTTCATCAGTCCCTGCTCAATTCCCTGCCCACATCTCTTGATGCTGCTGTTGATGCTGTTGCGCATACATGATTTGTTGATGCTGATGCTGCTGATAATGTAGCGAACTAGCATCACTTGCAGTCCTACTCCTCAACTCGCCTACTAAAGTTTGCTCTTCGTCTGTGAGACTGTGAATTGCGCTGTCTCTTTCATCATGATTTGGCCACGGCGTTCGTGGTTCAATCTTGATATCGTAGTTCAGTTGCTCCGCATGTTTGGATAATGCATACTCCGTATTGTATGATCGATCGTCGGGAGGGAACATTTCGTTGAACTTTCTCTGGACGGCTTCTTTACTCCACTTTTCTTCAACTCCATGCTTCATCATGCCTTTTGCGACTGCTTCCCATTTATCTCTCTCGTAATCTTCCCAAGCAAGTGTCAAAGCTCGCTCCTAAGCTTCGGTTAGCTTCTTCGTTGCCTGGATTAGTGACTGATCTGACCGAAATACATAATGAGCTAGGGATGTACCTCGCAATCAGTCCAAACGCGGAGACGTTCACAAAGTCGCTTCTTGCGCATTTGTAGAGCTGGCACTTTCATAGTCCTGCCTGTCCTCTCATTGAACTGCTTAGCAATCTCTTTCCAAGCGAGGCCTTCAACATCTGATAGCTGCATCAGAATTTGTTCCTCGTGAGTAATATTCTCATGATAAAGAATATCTCCGTCCAACTGTGTGGGAGCTCCCTTTCTCTTCCTTCGAGCAGTAATGGGAGCAAGTTGCTCTTGGTATTGGGGTGGTGTCGAGTTATAGGAATGCATGGAATGCGTAGAATCATGACGGCCATATGGCATATCTCCAGGCCTAGCCGTCGCTGGTCGCATTGTGTTGGGATTAGGAGCAATCAGTATCGGTGCGGGATTGTTTACCCTGTAGCTTTCAGGACTTTGAGCTGGTGTGGCGTGGCGTGATCTTCGGAGATCGGCGCTCATAGCACTTGAATTTGTATTGTGAGGACTGGTATTCATGTTTGGAGATGTTAACTCAGCTGTTCGTCCTGTTTTTGGCGTAGCGGAAACTCCAAATGCCCCATAATACGGAGAAGGACAGAAAAGAGCAGGAGAAGTAGGATAATTAGGCTCGCTGGTAGGAATCTTGGAATTATTGGAACTTGGGTCTTTTCGCTTCATTGGGGCAGAACCGAGTCTGGAACCAAAGTCGTCTTCGCCCCCACCAAAGAGCGGATAATCTGGTGATTCCATGGATGGAGATAGCTTTATATCCCTTTCTCTCACTGTGGGTGCTGGCCTTGAAGAAATGCTTGGAGATGGTGCCATTGCAATAGGCGTGATTAAAGATGAATCGTAGTGTGCTGGAAGATTAAATGACGAGACCTAAATTCTTGATTAGAGACTCCTGGTTACTAGTCGTAATAGCATAAACGTACAGCACTGTAAGGAGTCCAGGGAATATCTGAAGCTCTAGCGCTTGTGTGACTTGCACTGTGAGGTACACCATGACCCCCGCCAAAGGCAGGCTCCCCCATGGTGGTCATCTTGAGACGAGGTAGAAGAGGTTTCTTGAAGATAGCTGGAGATGTAACAGCAAAAGAATCCTCAAAGAATGTAGGAGATGGAATAGGAGCTGGTAAAAAAGTTTAATAAATGGAGAGAGGATTTATGAGACCGACAGGAGAGAGGATATCTTACCAGAATATATATCAAGCATTTGAAATTAGTATAGCGTGGTATAATTATGTAGTCACAACGAAATCAATCTGCCTGACAATGTCGAGTCAATAGAAGCCTTGGTAGCAAGTAAAAAATCGTTGACTTTTTTTATGCCAGTCAGGACCTATAAGTTTAAACAGAATGAGAGGCACAGCAAACTCAGCCCTGGTCACTCATTGGGCCGGGGACCAGGTGGCAGTGAGCAAGCAGGAGCAAGGTAGCGCCTTAACTAAACAGAGTGGGATATGCATGTTAGCAAGGGGAAGGGGTAGCCGCCGGGATATGAGGGGAATGCACGGTACTTGGTAGCAAATATGATTTGAGCGCTGGGAGTCTTAGCCGACTTAGCTCTTGATTATTATACTATCCCTATGTGGCATAGTGCTATTTCAAGCTTAAAAGTTAAGAAGTATACGGTACCCCAGCGCGTGCAACGGCGGCTGGGTGTTGTCACACAACCTTGCCTATTGCCAATGTTGAATTTCGTTATCGCCTTCCTGGGATTGCTGATATGGCTTAAGCAAGTAATTGCGGGCATCACACTCTAAGATTCAGAGTCTAAGGGTATGTGCACTGGGTACTGTGCAGTGATAAAGGGATCGATCTCAAGGGTCCGGACCGACGGCAGCTATTACGCGAGTCCTTTTATTTGATGATCAAAAGATCATTTAGGTCAGTGATTATCGGATGCAAATAATACCATTTCGCAATCGTATTCATTGGGAATTGTTTTTCAGGTCTTGCCCGTACCTCGGTAGCTGATAGAATTCTGGGTTCCAGATACAAGAAAAACATCCTGTGACACACGAATCGAGGACATATTTTGTGGCCACCGGGCAGCCGAAGAAATTACGCACACGGCCACTGGCAGGCTTACCTGTCCGCAAGAGTCTGAATTCTCCATAAAATCAGGCCAGCACAGCTTGTCTACAAGGAAATTCACTTTGGAGCCTGCCAATTGACGGGGTATGTTTCATGCTTTGCTGAAATCTGGCAAGGGATGCTGGCAATTGTAACGTGATTGTGTCGAAAGTAGCGACGTGCTTGATCCCGAGGGCACGGTAACGGTTCCTCCCATGGTGGGGATTCAAAAAGTACTCGGACATTGAACAAATCAGAAGTTCGATAGAAGGAGAGCCTGTGAAGTATTTAGCCTGTAGAGCGGTTGGTGTGGGAATGACTATAGTGAGATGTGGTGGGGAGAAGGAAGTAGAGCCTTGTCATGTTCATATGTTGATGGAGGATTATTCAAGCGAAGCGAACAATTATTCGAACCGCGCGCTTTTTGTGGACTTTTGTGGATTTGTGAATGTAGAAATCACAACTTTACGTTTCTGCATTAGCGTCTCTAGACAGTTGACCATATGATCTAACTTAATATGATTTACTAACAGAAAATTTATGGGGCCAGTATCCAATCACGTTCTTTTGAATGATCTCGAAGCGAATGTACTTTCCATCCAGCTTCCTTATATAATCTAGTGCTTACTCCGTAAACACAATAAACATCATTGATGCCCACTTCAGAAAAGATTGCATAATATACACTTCATTACACACGGTACAAAGTACGTATATATACACACACATGGAACGCTACGGAATACGGCATCTTGAAAGAAAGCATGATGCTGGCTGTGAAGGAGAAATTAATGTATAAACGAATCCGTGAGTAATTCTTGTTTAATCTAGGGCTATCTTCCGAGATCCCCTCATCTCAACAACCCTTCTTGCTCCTCTAGCCCCCTGTTTTCTCTTTCATCCCTCTAGACATCCTAGTAACCGAACTCGGGACTCAACCAAAATTTCTCTTTTGTGATTGACATTGCATTAGCCGTCTGAAATTGAATTTACCTCACTCCACAATGTACTCATTTGCAAGAACGAGCATACACACAGCCTATCTACTAGCGAGGATAAATCTCAGCTCCAAGGTACTGATCCGCGATTAACGACTTAGACATCCTTAAGCTGAATGTAGGGGGTACAGAGAAGCGCATTTTGACGCCGTTGGTTTTGTTGGCATAAAGACAGCCGCGTCAATCAAAGCCGTTATGAACAACTGAAGATACTTCGTAAGCATGACACGAATTCTATCAAGGGTAAAAATCAATGATTCAAAAAATTTCCTGGGTGAGATGGAAAAGATGGTACGATTTGTACGGGATTCTCAAAAAGGTTTAGTGATTACTTCAAATATAACCGGCAAGTCTACTCGGTCTCATGATATTTTTTGAATGGTCGACCGTTCGAGACAGCACACCATTTTATCTCGCCCCCTGCTAGACTGAACCAAACTGTCGGTAACAATACAGGCGAAAACCTTCCGCGACCACTTTTACAATCATTCTATAACTCAGCGCCAGCTTAAACACCAAAACCAATGTGGGCCAATGAACTCGGATCCGGAGGACCATTTACTAAAGCTACAGTGTGATTCCCCCTTTGATGAACATGATGGAGGGGTGAGAAGAGTCAATCTTTCATACTTGTAGATCATGCATCCTATCAGTAAAAGCAGGTAAATTTTGGGGGTTTCATAGGTTAATCCTATCTTTCCAATGAAATTACATCATCAATCTGCTAATTTGATCCTGATTGCCAAAACTATCACGAATCTTACGGTCCGCAAAGTGTTGACGGTGCCGATTTCAAAAATTAGACACAAAACAGCAATAAACACGAAATGCATGGCTGATTTCTTGCCGAATGTAACATTTCACGGCTTCGTCTGTGGTAATGGTACAAGATACACTGTATCAATATGGCGGGGAGGAAGTGAGAGCTTAAGCATAAGGAGATGACCATCATGCCATGCGCAGCCACGTATACATCACTCGATTGCCTAAGACCTCTCGAACTCAAGGTTTACTGGGTACTAACATAGCTTAGGCTTTGGAGAAATAACGGATACTTGATCTCGATCTTGATAATCTCGACGATTCACCCTTCAACCATGAATAATTATCAGTTGTCAACGGAACCCTCCCTCCTTTTCCCCGATACAACGCAATGCGGTACAATGGAGAGAATATCCCTCGATGAAGTTCAACCCTAATCCTAATATGCAAGGTTTTAATGAGATTAAAATTATCGAAACTAATATTGGAATTATCCATTCCTATCTGGCTTTGTAAACGGATTTCGGCTCGTAATCAACCAGCCAATCATAGGATACAAAGTGGGAAAAAACGATGTGCCGATAATGCTGGGGTAAGAAGTAGTACTATCTGAACCCCTTGAACGTGGTGAACGGACATCTAGCCCGTCCATTTTTCCATCGATCGTGCCTTCACTACCTACACGGACATACATTTCTGAGCGAGTGAAAAAACTTCTCAAAAGAGGACAAATTAATCCAGTCGTTTGGTTCATAGGATTCCAGACCACCATTCTCTTTCGATTGCGGATATTAATGCAGGCAGACACACCGCCAGAATCTCCAATAGAACCAGGATCTCACAGTGTAATCCAGCAGTTTGATAGATGTTTTGATCGGTCAGGTTGGCTGCTACCATCTGTATGCATACTCAGAAGAGGCTTGGATTTCCGGTCTTTACCAGTTTGTCGGAATGAGATAGATGCTCACGGGTCCGACGAAAAAGCTTAACAACCAACCAGTTTCATGCGAGATAAAACCACACAATGCACCTTCTATCTTAGCTATCGATGGCGGATATCTTACCATAAGGCTGCGTTGACGAAAAATTAGATCGGCAGATAGTCAGCTTTTGGAAGGTCAGAAACATGTTCAGGTGTATGCTCCGATTGAAATGGCAATATTCACGAAGGATCAGTGGTTCCCTCTGAGGTAACGGTAGGCAATCTCATGGCAACCCACAAAAGCCATTAACCCTGGTCATCAATCAAATTGTTGATGAGATTCAGAACAAACTATGGACTGAGGTACGAGTGACTTCATGGCCCCCAGATTTCGAATTGCGATTAACAAGCATGCCATCAAACGGTGACAGAAACTCCTGTCAAGAACCTTGGCGAGAACCTTGGCGAGTCTTTTTTTCTCTTCTGGAGCTTTGGAGACCAAGGATGGCGGCGTGGCAACAGGCAATACTGGACAGGATGAAATATCCAAAGCTAATGCTGGGATATGGCACATAACAGCCCACATTCACACTCTTTGTGCCACCCCCTCCCCCACAGAACGTGTTTCGATATTCATTCAATGGCTATCTGAAGCTTAAATTCTCTAGAATTCAACCCATCTTGAGCTTTCAGGATGGTGAGCTGACAGAAGTTGGTTACCAACCCTGCCACGAGAAGGATCGATTACATTCCCTTGTTCGTTTTCATGGGATTTTCGACCTTTTGAATTTGTAAATTGTTCTTTGTGAATACGCACTCAAGGCTTTCGTACTATCAATCCACAAGTATCGATGTATTAATTTTGGCGATACGACAAAATAGGAATCCCCGAAAGCTTTCACAGTGCGAAGAACCTTACTAGAGTATTCTACGGGGAAAGTCTCTCGTTGCAGCACAAGTGGCCACATGGTTGACGGCCTCTACTGTAACATCACCACACCCTCAGGATGAGAAGGATGTTTCGTAACTGCAAGTCACCTTTTTCATGTAACCCACAGAATCTAATTCACATCAATATCACAAAATGGCTGGATGTTAAGCCTGCCATTTGATCAAAGCCGACGACAGTACACCCTCAAGTCTCTGCAATGCCTTGCAATATTAGAGTTTAATTCTGAAAGGGGGAAATTTTGTGGTCGCCTGCTGATCTCCTTGATTGTAACCTCGACTTAAACTAAGGTTATTTCATGATGGGGTCAACTTCTTGAAGGATTTCATCCAGGTTGCTTTTTTAGATGCCACTTCGGTTTTTTCTGGGTCAAATTTGCTGACAATCATAGAAGACACTGAATCTTCAAAGAAAAGAATTTCACAACCCAAGTTCTTAGCTCATTGTTGTGCCACAAACATTATACAACATGTTCCTTCTCTTTAACTTCGCCATGGCATGAACGG